TTTTGAAAGTACAATTATCTAGTAAAAAAGTCACATCACTATTGTACAAGTGAACAATCTACGTGGACAATGAGATAACATGGAAACCTGGTATAATGAGTAATTTAAATTAAAAGATTATCCAATGCTATAATGAATAAATTTTTCAAAGTACAATATTCTAATAAAAAATAGTTTGAAAATACATTATTATAATAAAAAAAACTGAAAGTATAATATTATAATAAATAAATTTATTAAAATAGATTAGTATTTTATACATTTTACTCTATATAATTATAGTTTTTGTTATATAAACCATAGAATGGAATGATAGAATGAGAAAACTGACAGTTGCATAATCACGACTCTCTGTAAACTTCATGACTGTAGATTGCCACGCATAAACTCCACATCCATCCTCCCCATTGTTTCACTGCAAAAACCAACTGCCATTAATGGCTTCTCTTCACTTGTGTTGATCCCTCTAATGGCTCAAGGTCATATGATACCCATGGTCGACATCACCCGATCACTAGCCCACCGTGGTGCTACCGTCACCATAATCACCACTCCAACCGGTTCAAACCCTCGATTGCTCGAGCTATCAAAGACCAAAACCTCAAAATCCCCATTAACAGAAGTTGGTTTGCCTGAAGGATACGAGAGTTTTGACATGCTTTCGTCAACTGCCCTCTTTCTTAAATTCTTAGCAGCCGCAGCTATATTAAAGGAACCGTCGGAAAACATGCTCCGGCGCCAAGCCGTAGCTATGTTGAAGGATTACTATATTGGAACTTGTTGTATAAAGGATTACTGTTGTGTAGAAAGTAATTTTATCATATAAAGCATACAAGAATCGTCAAAGAACAAAATCACGTTAATGGCTGTGAGTTTTACCCACTGTTACATTGTGTTGGAGCTCCGATTAAGCCCATCTTTGGAATCGAAATCTATGGAGGCATGCCCGTTAAGGGTGTCGGGTAGAAGAGAAACAACCCAAACCCGTATGAAAACGGATTAGGATGTTTCTATTGGGCTCACGATTCAATGAAATCAGTACTGGGCTAAAGTGTTTTAAGTTGGCCTTTATTTTTGGGCTGAATCTGAAGTCGATGCAAGCAGCAACAGTGGTGTACTGTACTCTACAGAGTCTACAAATTTTCGGTGTATGTATGGCAGTTAAAAAACCTAAGTGATCTTTAACAATTATTGAATGTTTTTGTGTAAAATGATTAAGAAGTCAGAATAATTAAGAAGTTTTCATGATATAATATAATATAAAAAATAATTTTTTGGTAATTATTAACTATGAAATTAGGGCACTGAATGGTTTAAGGGGCGGCTCCAATATACAAAACCATTAAGAGACAAAAAAAAAATTTGGCAAACAAAATTCACCTCTTAACAATTCAGAGATTACCTTTTAATAAAACTATTAAGAGATAAACAAACAACCCCTCAATCAATCTGTTATAAAGCATAACCCTTGCAGCATTGGATTGACGGGTTGTTATTATTAATTTTAAATAAGTATGTTTTATCGCTTGATTTACTCTTTTATATATATATATATATATATATATATATATATATATTGTATAATTATCTATTATTTAGTTTCATACATTTGTATGCATAACTTAATCCAATTCTTTTCGATAACACAAGTACACAAATGTAAATAAATAATGAAAATTAAGCACAAAAATAGAGAAAATCATGCCCAAAAATGACATACAACAAGAATAATATTCAAACTTATCGTATACAAATATAATTTTTTTTTTATCAAAATTATATATTAGCGATGGGTTGGAAGGAGTTATGCCTAACCAATTTCAACCCTATTTAATGGTGGTTGGTTGTTGACGGGTTGAATTTAATGGGTTGAGTTGTACGGATTGACGGTTTTTTGCACGGCTCGATTGCAAGAGCAATCTTGGCTTCAAGTCAATGGGTCTTGTCCTTTTTAACATTTGCAAGTTCCATTATATCTTGTATTAGTAGTGTCAAGTTCTTGTAAGAAGACCCTCCCTCTTCTATTGCTTTGTTCGCTACCTTCGCAAGTAGTTTCGCTTTCTTTTTTCTCTCGTTTCCTTCGGTTCCGATATCCATCATTTTGCGTATAGCATTCGAAACCTGCTCGCTTTTCACCATAACCCCGAATTTGTCTTCCATACCCCAATGCACAACTCGTTCAGCCCCAACCGCCACGCCAACCCCCAACACTTGGACTACTAGTTTCTCGTTCAAGAACTGATCAGCAAACAGCGGCCACGTAATCAGTGGCACACCTGCACAAACTCCTTCGAGGATCGAGTTCCAACCGCAGTGAGTCAAGAACCCTCCGACAGAAGGGTGTGACAAGATTAGGAGTTGTGGAGCCCAATCTCTGATCAAAAGTCCTCTACCGTTTGTTCGTTCTTCGAACCCAGTTTCTTTTATCCATTCCTCGATCTCCTTAGCTCTATCACCCGCTCGAATCACCCATATGAATGGGCGGTTAGATGCTTCTAGGCCTAAACCGAGCTCAATCAGTTGTGGAGGGATGACTTGACTACTGCTACCGAAACATGCATAGATTACGGATCCTGGTTCTTTAGAATCAAGCCAGTTCACGATTTGCTGCTCGTCGATTGATGTGCTGTTTCCTCTTACGGCTTTACCCAAATTTTTATTATTGGTTAATGACAACGGTCCTAAACACCAAACCCTACCATTTTTCAACTTCTTAAACTCGTTAACATATTCTTGCTCCAACTCCTCAAAACTATTGATCACCAACCCGTAAGCGCTCAGCTCGGTTTCCCTCACTCGTTCGCGTTGCTCCTTCGTGCCTAAACCACCAGGATTGAACTCTTCTGGCAGCTGGACTTTGGTCATCTCAATGTGGTCTGGCAATCCAGGGAGAACAAAAGGTTCCGAGTCAGGCAAACCATCAAGCACCTTGGATGCATACAAATGATGAGTACACAATTGCTTAAAACAATTCATCCCATCAAAGATTATCCTTGGTATCTGATACTTAATCGCTGTATCAGCAGTCCAGAGCATGAATCTATCAGATAAAATACAGCTCGGTCGTGGGTCCAGCGATTCGAACCGTTGTTCAAGTCTTTGTTGTAACATATCAACTGCAGCTGAAAAGTTTGGGATTAAATGAAGACCCGGTAGAGCATCTGCACTTTCGCATCCTTCCGGTAGTCCAGCCTCGGCTGCCGGAAACGGGAGTTCAAGAAAACGGACCGGGAGTCCGGAGTTGATGTGTTGTTGGAGGTTAGGACCATATCGAATGGCATTGAGGGGTGTGGTGACGATGGTCACCACCACATTCGGCCGTTGTGCGAGCAGTTTGGCCATGTCGATCATGGGGATGGTATGGCCAGGGGCTAATAAGGGAATCAAGAGGAAGTGAAGCTGGGAGATGGATTCCGATGCCATTATTGAATCCCACCGGAGATTGTGGATTGATGAATTATGAATTGGAATTTGATTTGAGAATGGTTTCGATTGATATATTGTGGATTTATATAGACAAGAATCATGATTCTAGATTTGATTCTTTGGTGCAATGAGTTTTCTTAGAACTTTCAAGGTTTGGAAAAGTGATTGCAAGAGATTCTTGGTCTTTACACGGAAGTAAAATTCTAGAAAGCTGGAAGATTTGAAGGATGCAATTCAAAATTGCTTCCATGGTTTAATTAGATCTGATCGGTTTAGCCATCGGATGTTATCATGCATATCAAGAGTTATAATTATTATAAATATAAAATTAAAAGCTAAAAACTTGTGTTCATATCATGGTTTCAAAATATATATTGTGACACATAACAAAGTGACCAAATAACATTTTTCATGATCCTACAATTTCCGACACTATAGATTATATTTGATCCAAATAATATTTTAATCCAATCTTCAATCCATTAATCTACCGTCTTAACCAATTATCAATATATTTTCCAAAGAAAGAAAAACCACATGTAATAAAAACACTTAAATTACTCCGTACGTCCCAAAATAACTGTTCACAGTAAAAATGACACAATTTTACTCTTAGCTTATAATAGAGAGATTTTCTCTATCTTATAATTTAAGGTATAATGGGAAAGTAAATTTTTACTTTCAAAAGCGGACAATTATTTTATAACGAACTAAAATAAATACATGGACGCTTATTTTCGGATGAATGAAGTGCATATTTTTATTTATCGGATGGTTATTGGATTGGATCAGGTTGATTTTATTAGATTCTTTACTGATATCCAAAACCGACGAAAAAGTTATGAACTAATAATAGAACTGAAATATAAATTGACTGGTCCAATTTGGATACTGGAATCTTGGATCTGATCTCATCCAATTACGATCAGTTGGTTCTAAGAATATCTAACAGAGGTTTCTATAAAAACCAAATTTCTGTATTTTTTTTCTTGTCAAGTTATTTCTAATTCACTAAACTAATAACCTACATACAACTTTATAATGATAGTTTTTTTTTATTAACCTGGATATCCAATCCGATATACGAGCCGACTAATCCCAGGACGACCACCTGCTTTGCAGATAGTCCGGAGTCACCGCATTTGAACCTCCATAGCCACAAGGGGATTTTTATTCCTCGTTGGATTTAAACTTGAGACCTCCCGGTACTTTTGATCTTTGAAACCAAACTCAAACCAATCAGATACCATAAGTGTGATTTATAAGGACATGTTATTTTTAGTGATCCAATCACATCCCTACGATTCATTGGACGTATAGAAGTCGCATCAACGGTGGTAGATGCTGCCGAACATAAGATGTGGTGACCATGCCTTCCATAACAATCCAATTTTTTGGCCGGCCAACATATGCGAGCCCCATATGTTACTGTATATTTATTTATCATCTCATCTTCATTTTCGATAATTACAAAAATACAAGACACATCGTAAGCATTTACCAATGTTATTTGATATGTATATGTATATATATATATATATATATATATATATCTTCAGTAGTTTCATAGGAACCACCAGAACGAACTTTCTGAACCTCTCCAATGGCTTACCCTCCCACAGGCCTTCATTTTGTCTTATTTCCCCTTATGGCTCAAGGTCATTTGATACCCATGGTGGACATAGCCAAGATACTAGCCCAACGCGGTGCAACAGTTACTATAATCACGACTCCGGTTAACGCGAACCGTTTTAAATCCGGCATTCACCGTGCAATCGAATCTAACCTCAAGATCCAAGTTCTCGAACTCGAACTCGCGTTAGCCGAAGTTGGTTTGCCGGAAGGATGCGAGAATTTCGACTTGCTTCCGACGTCTGCGCATGCTGTCAATATGTTTTTGGCTATGAATTTGTTAGAAGAACCTGCGGAAAAGGTGTTTCGGAGTTTGTGTCCGCCTCCGAGTTGCATCATCTCGGATGGTGGTTTTCCATGGACGTCCGATTTGGCGGAAAGGTTTAACATTCCGAGGCTCGTTTTCTACGGGCCGGGATGTTTCGCTTTCTTGTGTATACACATTGTGACGAATACGAGTATACTAGATGAAATCGACTCCAATTCGGAGTACTTTGTACTTCCTGGCTTGCCCGACCACATTGAAGTCACAAAACCTCAAGCTTCGACTTGGGGAAGAGGAGACACAAAAGAAACCACCGAGATGTTTGATCGAATGCAAGAAGCCGAGAAAACTTCATTCGGGATTGTGGTTAATAGCTTCGAGGAATTGGAGCCAAAGTACGTTGAAGAGTTCGCGAAAGCAAAAGGTAAAAAAGTGTGGTGTATCGGCCCGGTTTCAATGTGCAACAAAAGTGTCCAAGATATAGCCGACAGAGGAAACAAGGCTGCGATCAACGAGCACGATTGCAAGAAATGGCTCGATGCAAAGGAGCCACAGTCCGTAGTTTATGTTTGCCTCGGAAGTCTAGCGGATTCTTCCACGGAACAAGCCATTGAGCTTGGGTTAGGATTGGAGTTATCGAACGTGCCCTTTATTTGGTTCATTAGGCACACAAGTGACGAATTCGAAAGATGGCTCGTAGAAGAAGGATACGAAGAAAGGATAAAAGATAGAGGCCTAATGGTCCGTGGTTGGGCACCACAAATCTTGATATTGTCACACCASGCCATCGGGGGTTTTGTAACACATTGTGGATGGAACTCGACTCTAGAAGGGATTTCCGCTGGGATCCCGATGGTCACGTGGCCGCATTTTGCGGAACAATTTCTAAACGAAAGATTTATCGTAGAYGTATTGAAAATCGGAGTGAAAATAGGTGCGGAGGTTCCTAGTATTTTCGCATTGCGAGATCAGTTTAAGCCTGAATTGACGATCAAACGGGAAGATATCAAGAYGGCCGTGGAAGGTTTAATGAGCGAYGAAGAGGAAGGACASACGAGGAGAAAACGAGCAAAGGAATTTGGGGAAATGGCGAAACGAGCGATGGAGGAAGGGGGATCGTCTCGCGTTAACATGACATCGATGATTCAAGCGATTACAACCGAAGTAACCAACAGGACGAAACCGATTCCAGATATTGTGTAAGTTGTACACCCAACATGATTCTTTTAAGCTGAATCACGATGGTTTTTGGGTTGTGATGTTTTGTAATCAGTTGCCCGAGAAATCGAGGTTTGAAACTGTTGTCGTTAATACGAGTGGTGATTATGGTATCGGTGATGCCGCGTTGGGCTAGTAATCGGGCAATGTCTTGTATAAGTAAGCTTATAAGGCTAGTCTCATAACTCTTAACAAATTGAACAAGAACCCATCTAAGGGACTTGAATTGGACTAAAAAGGGAAACACTTACCAAGTCATTTTATTTTACCAGATGAATATGACAAGAATTAAGAATCTTACACGGTAAGAACAAATGTAAAACTATTACCATGGTTAGCTCTTACCGAAAATAAATTATTAGATACGATACATTTTAAGTGAATAAAATCTTACCCAATAAGTAAACGATATTGTTTAATTTTGCGGATAATTATTTACCGAATAAACTGTATTTTCTTGTGATGGAAGGAATTTAAGTCAAAATTAGCGACTGACTGGATGAACACATGCACATGTTGCCGTGTTGGGCAAACATATGACGTCGATACTGACGTCATTTCACTTCCTACAAATACCCACTTAATTATTTCATACAGAACCACCAAAACCATCTCTTCCAAACCATCAATGGCCTCATCTTCTCTTCACTTCGTCTTGTTTCCTCTAATGCAACAAGGCCACATGATACCCATGGTCGACATTGCTCGAATACTCGCCCACCGCCACCTCACCGTCACCATCATCACAACCCCTGTGAACTCCAACCGTTTCCGACCCGCCATCGATCGAGCAATCCAATCTAACCTCAACATCCAAATACTCGAACTCCAACTCCCATTATCYAAAGTCGGTTTGCCAGAAGGATTCGAGAATTTCGACCTGCTTCCATCGGCTGATCTCCATATCAAACTGTTCGCYGCAATGGACATGTTAGAAGAACCAACGGAGAACCTCCTCCGGCGACTAACTCCGCCACCGAGTTGCATCATCTCCGACAAYCTCTTTCCATGGACCACCGATGTAGCTCGGCGGTTGGGTATTCCGAGGCTCGTTTTCCATGGACCTGGATGCTTCACATACTTGTGCTTACACATAGTGATGAATACTGGTGTATTAGATGAAATTGTCTCCGACTCAGACATGTTTGTGGTTCCTGGGATATTTGATGAGATCAAAGTTACGAAATCGCAGGCGGGAAGTTGGGGGAAAAGAGAGACGAAGGAGATGGTGGATATGTTTCGAAGAATGGATGAAGCTGAGAAAGGTGCTGATGGGATTGTGGTTAATAGTTTCCAGGAGTTGGAACCCAAGTATGTTGAACAACTTGCGAAGGTGAAGGATAAAAAGGTATGGTTGTATATATATTCTTTAGAGAAATTAACAAAAATAGCCGTTTCAGTCGGATAAATTTACCTCTTAGACATTTTTCTCCCAAAATTTCCAAAAAGCCATTGCGCCCGCAAGTTGCATAGGGTCAAAATATATATAAAAAATTTGAACGTGGTTGGTAGGAACCAAATATGTAAATTAGTTTGAACTAATTTACAGATTTGATCCCGGTATTTGCGGACCATGTTCAGATTTTTTTTATATTTTGACTCGTCCACAAGTTGAGGAGTTGCAAACTGCAGAGGTAGTGATTTTTTGAAAATTTTGGAAGAGAAATTGTTAAGAGATAAATATACAAGGCTGAAACGTCTATTTTTGTTAATTTCCCTACTGATACTCTTTACAATTTACACTGAGATTCATAGTGAGGTTTTGTCTCACACAGAAAGCATAGTGAAACTTAGGGTCTGTTTGTTGGCAGCTTAATTAGACTCACAATTTATTCGGCCAGTTATTCATGAATGTTTGGTAAAGACTTAATTAATTATATAGAAAGTGGTTTATCCAATAAGCTTCTAAGAAGAGCTTTATATAAAAATCAAGTTTTTTTTTTCCAAACTTGTCTCTTCGAATTAAAAAAACACACTTCATCCATCTATGAGAAACCCTCTCCAACAAAAACTTTTTCAATATATACTGACAGATTAATCAACACAGATAACTTTATTCATACAAGACTTAATGGAAAACCAATCAAACAGCCCTTAGTTGTACTGGTGAGCTATATATATGAAATTTCGACATATCACTTGTCCCACATAAGAAGAGTGATAAATTCTTCTTTAGTTTATAATCTCTAAAACTTGTAACTTTTTAAAGAGATTAGGCGAGCTAAGGAGGATTTGACCTTGTGTGAGTTGTGCACGAGTTTAATCACGTCTTAATCATTGTTTTACTGTACTATTTCTACTATTAATCTATTTTCTAACAGGTATGGTGCATTGGCCCGGTTTCGCTACGCAACCAAAGTCTGCTCGATATAGCCGAGAGAGGAAACAAGGCCGGAATCAACGAGCACGATTGCTTAAAATGGCTGAATAAGAAGGATCCAGGGTCTGTAATCTTTGTTTGCTTAGGAAGTATGTCGAGTGTTTCCACAGAACAACTATTCGAGCTCGGGTTGGGATTGGAGTCATCGAACGTGCCGTTTATTTGGTGTATACGACACACAACGGAGGAATCGGAGAGRTGGTTGTCGGGATACGAARAACGGGTAAAAGATCGAGGCCTAATTGTCCGCGGTTGGGCACCGCAAGCCTTGATACTMYCGCATAAAGCCATTGGTGGTTTYGTAACTCATTGCGGATGGAACTCGACTCTTGAAGGCATTTCCGCTGGGATCCCGATGGTTACGTGGCCCCAATYCGCGGATCAATTTCTTAAYGAAAGATTYATCWTAGACGTATTGAAAATCGGAGTGAGCATCGGCAATGAGGAGGTTGTTGCGGTTGGAGATCAAGATAAGTTTGGAGTGTTGGTAAAGAAGGAAGACATCAAGTCATCTATTGGAAGTATAATGGACAAAGAAGATGAAGGAGAAGCGAGACGAAAGAAAGCGAGAGAGCTCAGAGAAATGGCGAAAAGAGCAATGGAGGAAGCGGGTTCGTCTCATTTCAACACGACAGCAATGATTGAAGATATTATCGAGCGATTAGGCAAACTAAAGCRATTCAAGATGTTGTCTAGACTAGTGGTTTAATCGTTTACATACGACTTATGATAAGAAAAACACRATTTCGATCTTGTACATACTCGACAAGRTCGTTTCAACTTGATGGCTCTCGGCTTTTAACATTTGYAAGTTCCATTATATCTTGTATTAATAGTGTCAAGTTCTTGTGAGAAGACCCTTCCGGTTCTACTGCCTTTTTCGCTACCATCCCGATTGCTTTTACTTTCTTTCTTCTCTCGTTTCCTTCGGTTCCAAAATCCATCACCTTCTGTATCGCCTTCAAGATCTGCTCGGTTTTCACTGTTACCCCGTACCTGTCTTCCATACCCCAATGGACAACGTGTTGAGCGCCAACCCCCACGCCAATCCCCAACACTTGGACTACTAGTTTCTCGTTCAAGAACTGCTCAGCAAACAGCGGCCACGTTATCAGTGGCACGCMGGCACAAACTCCTTCAAGGATGGAATTCCAACCGCAGTGAGTCAAGAACCCTCCAACCGAAGGGTGTGATAAGATTAGGAGTTGTGGTGCCCAATCTCTGATCAGAAGTCCTCTATCTTTAGTTCTTTCTTCAAACCCGTTTTCTTTTATCCATTCCTCGATCTCCTTAGCTCTATCACCCGCTCGAATCACCCATATGAATGGGTGGTTGGACGCTTCTAGGCCTAAACCGAGCTCAATCAGTTGTGGAGGGATGACCTGACTACTGCTACCGAAACAGGCATAGATTACGGATCCAGGTTCTTTGGAATCAAGCCAGTTCAAGATACGCTCCTCATTGATAGAGGAGCTGTTTCCTCTTACSGCTTTTCCCAAATCATTATTATTGTTCAATGACAACGGTCCTAAACACCAAACCCGACCATTTTTCAACTTCTTAAACTCGTTAAMRTATTCTTGCTCCAACTCCTCGAAACTATTGATCACCATCCCATAAGCGCTCAACTCGGTTTCTCTCACCCGTTTGAGTTGGTCCCTTGGCGCCATATGATTATGATTGAACTCGGGTGGCAGCTGCAATGTGGTTATCTCAATCCGGTCTGGCAATCCAGGGAGAACAAAAGGTTCTAACTCAGGCAAATCGTCGAACACCWTGGATTCATACAAATGATGACTACATAACTGTTTGAAACAACTCATTCCATCAAAAATGATCCTTGGTATCTGATACTTAGCSGCTGTATCAGCAGTCCAGAGCATGTATTTATCGGATAAAATGCAATTGGGTCGAGGATCCAGCGATTCAAAACGTTGTTCGAGTCTTTGTTGTAACATATCAACTGCAGCTGAAAATTTGGGGACTAAATCTAGAGCATGTATAGCATCTCCACTTTCGCATCCCTCCGGTAGTCCAACCTCAGCCGCCGGAAAAGGGAGTTCAAGAAAACCGACTTGCAGTCCCAATTTGATGGGTTCTTGGAGGTAAGGACCATACCGGATGGCGTTGAGGGGTGTGGTGACGATGGTCACCWTCACATTCCGCCGTTGTGCGAGGAGTTTGGCCATGTCGATCATGGGGATGGTGTGGCCAGGGGCTAATAAGGGAATCAACAGGAAGTGAAGCTGGGAAGCCATGATTTGATTTGATAATACTTGAAACTGATAAATCATTCATTTTTATAGAGAAGAATCGCGTATTTTGATTAGGGTTTTGGTTCATGCATCATATATGTACTGATTATGACGAGTTTTCTGCAAAATTTCAGCAAAATGCAAACCTCTTTGTAATAACTTTTTAACAGTTTTTTTTTTTTTTTTTAATCTGGGAAGTAATCATCCTAACTTACCGAGTAAGACTTTTCATCCTTATCATCGTTATTACTGGGTAAGATTCTTGTCCCTTGCCATGTTCATTCGGTGTGAAAAATTGCTCCGTAAGTACTTACCTGATAAGCGTTTAATAAACGGCCCCTAAGTATTTAATTTCAACTCTTTTCTCTAACAAATTAACAATAAGGGCATCTCCAGTGCATGACACTCTACCAGAGTGTCATGGACTGCCACATCAGCATTCCACTCACCATACAACTCTATCATTTTATACCCACACTCCATAAGACTCCAATGAGTTTAATGGATTTCCACATCATATATATATATAATCTATAAATATAATTTTACCAACAAATTTAAAAATCTACTAAAAACAAGGAATAATACATTAAAATGAAAATGAAACGAAATGAAAATACATTTAATAAAAAGCACGAGACTAAAATACATCAGTTAAAAAGTACCAAAGCTAGAAAATGAAATGCTTAAACACCAAATAATTTAAAACTAATTATGTTGTTTTTATAAATTAAGAAAAATAAAAATAAAAATTAATTTATTGATTAATAAATATCATATTATAGTGTGTATATATATATATATATATATCATAATTAAATCCTTACAAATTTAATTATAAAAAAAAATAGTAGGTCCCATCTTCCTCCCATGATACGTGTAATGCCCATTGAACTCCCCCCCCCCCCCATTAAACTCTCCATGACACCTTTCACAATGCATGATGAGTGTCATGGTTCCCATTACTCTCCATGACACCCAATTGGAGATGCCCTTAAGTGCACGCATTAAGCATTTCAAATACCGTGACCGACAAGATTAGAACGAACGTTTGTTGCTTCTCTCCTAAACGCAAATTGCATGCGTCGTTCATTTTACCTTTCAATTTGGGATCGACAACATCAGTAGGAAAGTGATCTACGTAACAATGATACATGTAATAAGTGTTTTTACCTTTTGAGTCTAGAATAAGCAATTTTGTGAAGGCTTGTTGTTAAAGTCTCATATCAGCTAAACTTGGATTATTTAACCTTTATATATATATATATATATATATATATATATATATATTAGAACATTCATTCTTTATTCGTTACCCATTTTGACTTTTTACAAACTTCACGTAAACTATTTTTACGATAAACATGTATGTGTTTCTAAACGTTGTTGATGTCACGAGAAAGCTAGCCATTCCTTTCCATCGACGAAAGAGATGTTCATGTAAGGAGCCGCTTGTTCTAGGTTTAGATGTTTCGCGTATGGGACCCTATATTTTAAATTCGCACCAGGACCCGAGCACTCGTATTGTCCAAAGAAAATTAACCTGAAATACATTTGAATGATACAGATTAAGCGTTAATAACATCGGTTAACATAATTAAGAAACGAAAGGCATGATCAAATATTCTCATTTGATTAATAAAACTTTGAACGTTACATTGTGTTTTTCTGATATTTTGTGATATGTGAAACCCTATCAGATTGCTTTTCAAAAGAGTCAGATCGAGAAGATAAGAAGGTCCATACTCCCTCCGTCCTAAAATAAGTGTCCACAGTAGACATGACATAAATAGTGATGTGGGTACTTATTTTAAGAACGAAGGGAGTATTAGCAGTATCCAGTAACCAAACCTTCTTCCAACCTGTATCTATATCTGTGTCAGCTAGATTTGGACACTTTCTCTTCAATATATGTTCGACCCCTCAACTGCTATTTTGAAAAGTAATCTGATGGGGTTCTACATATTCTGACATTATTATTTGAGTAGGGAAGATGAATTAAGATGGCCATAACTGATCTCTATTGGGGTCTCTCCAGTTATTCCAACCTTCAGGAGAAACAATTTCAGACATGAAAGTTTTAGAGAAGACAACAGTTGCATGTAGACCCCAAGCCCTCCCAAGCCACACCTTACCGCGGCCTCCGATCCTACAATTCACAAACGAAAACCCCGTTTTCTCGTTCTTTGAGTTCCTCCCTTGTGCTGTTATCGCTCCACTGATCCCACGACCAGTTCCTACTGAGTTCAGCGTACAAGTCTGTAACGAAAGGTGAAGTTAACCGGAAGTTCTTGCTATAACAAAACGGGGTTTATAAGATGCCAAAAATGTCTAAGTATCCTAATAGACTGCTTTATATAAGACGCTTAAACATTTTAGGTGTCCTATAAACCCAATTTTGTTGTAGTGTGTCACAAGACATGGTTACAACGCCCAAAAAGCGTACGTTGTGATCGTTACCTTATAGAGTGATCTACCATTTCCAAAGACAAAATCAATTGATCCTTGAATGAAACATTCTTTGAAATAATGTCTTCCTGCATCATCATGAAGAGTGTCTTGAAACCCATAAAATCCACACCCATAAAAAGCTGCTTGATCACCTGCGATCCTTAGTGCCACTGCCTGAAGTCCAGCTGCTTCAGGAACCGTGTTCTTCGCAAACACAGCAACCGTTCGTATCAATTTTCAGAAGAAAAGGAAAAGAAAAGAAGTATCATGACAACAGAATCGGGTTTATAGTATACCAAAAGTGTTTGAACGTCATAATAGTGTAATTTATAGGACATATATAAGTTTCTAGGACCAAACACTTGTGTCTACTATCTATCTGATAGTGTTGTAATAAGTTTATGTGACGTCTCTAAAAAGGTTGTTAAGACGCGCAAAAGCGTCCTATAAGCTTATTACAACACTTTTAGATAGAACACACATGCTAAACTTAAGTCCTATAAAGCAGTGTATTAGAATTAGGATACTCTTATATCGATCTTTAGTGTCCTGTAAACCCGAATTTGTTGTAGTGTATCTTTAATTTGCAATTATGTAATTATGATTTAATTACTTGCATTACCTTAAAACTAATGTTGTAAGCAATGAACTTCGGAGCAAAAATGCCAACCGAGTAGCTGTAAACGGTGCCTCGGGCTGATTTTGCAGTGTCATTCCAAGCGATTTCGGTGTTGAGATAACCCTGGCCTTGAACTATCAAATTGGTCTTATTATGGTGCACCACCACTTTCTCCCTGCCACAACAGTCACATATACTAAAGGGTTATTGGCCTAGCGGTACTCGGGTTACTAGCATAGCCTAGCCGTACGCCTGTACTCGGGTTACTAAGGGCATAGCCTCCCATAAGGTCAAGGGTTCAAACATCACCAAATTAGAGAGGTGTGCATTACAATAAAATTGAGTTTATAGGACACCAAAAATGTCTAGCTTTGTACAACTTAACCATATAGGACCAAACGATAAAGGTTACTATCTAAAAGTGTTGCAATAAGTTTACATGACGCTTTTGAGCATCTTAACAAACTTTTTAGGACAATTTTATAATAAAACGTCGTATTAACTATATGACATTATTTAAAAAAGTGTTCTATAAAAACAAGTGCCCTATAAAAAAGATGTGTTTGTAGATTACTTCTCAAAAGTGTCATATAAAATAGCTAATATGACGTTTTATTCTAAAATGTTCTAAAAAATTGTCCAAAAGCGTCATATGAACTTATTATAACACTTTTAAATATGTAACTTTATCGTTTGGTCCTATAAATATTATAAATAAACTCACACACCCTCCTCATCTTTGTGAGATTTGAACCATTGACCTCCTAGAAGGCCGAAGACTCACATACCGCTAGACAAAAGGCCTTTTGGTTCCTTAGACATTGTTGACGTCCTATAAATCGGATTTTGTTTCAGTGGTGTGTGAATATTTGTTATATAAAAGTATTATAACAAGTGTAAGCTCTTGGATTTTACATGCATTGACCACAACCAATGAGGCATAAATTTAAAGGTTAGCTCAATCGGCAAAATAGAGGGATTTTACTGACCGTTATCTTTAGGTCCCATGAGATTAGTCGAGGCGCAGACAAACTGATCCGGATATCCACAGTTACCAAAAACTACAAAAAAAGATTGCATGATGAGGAAACGTTACCTGTATGTGCCTGAATCAAGTATGATAAGTGTTGCTTTTTGGCTAAAATCAGGAACAGCATTCACTGCCTTCTGCAAACTGTTGAATTTTCCGCAACCCTTATGATCAACGGTCAGAACAAGCAACACTTTGTATTTCGATATGAGCGGCGACTTCCACTTGCTCTCATCACAAGTGACCTCACGCGGCCTACGGTGGTGGCGGTGGCGGTGGCTACGACCTGTATGCAGGCCAAAATTTTGGGTGTAGAAAGAGAGAATGATGGAAAGTAGAGCAATGGCAACAGTTGCAAACAGCCAAAACCGTAGGGTTCTTTTGGTGTTCATATCGTTGGACTAATTGTGGTATTTCGTTATGAATTGTTGTGGGGATCACCTACTCTTATATATACATATACAGGAAAAGATTCATTTGATAAAGTGGTAAATATTTGAAAAGTAAAGAAGTGATAATAACTGATCTCTTTATCATGTCAACATTTACGATTTTGACTGTGAAGTTCCGGATAATTCTTCGTATGAGTATGCGGAAGATATAGAGGTAGTTTCGATATGTGGACTCCTTAATTAGTTCACATGTGAACTATTTAACTGTTTTATATATGAACTCACATGTTCATATATGAATCAGTTAATTAGTTCATATGTGAATCACACGGATACATATGTGAATTAGTTAATTAGTTCATATATGAATCAGTTAAAAATAGTTCATATGTGAATTACACGTGAATCACATAGGTTCATATATGAACTCATTTGCCTCATATTTATAAAAGTTATGAAACTACGACCACCTCTATTTTTTGCATAACATTTTTTACCAGTCAAAAAATTTAAGTGTTCTAATAGACCACTTTAATTATAAAACTTTATTTAGAGAACCAAAAAATAAAACGTCATATCTTAATATGTTGTAATAAGTTTATATGACGTATGTGGGTGTCATAACAAGTTTCTAGGACATTTTTATGAAGAAAAAAACATCGTATTAGATATTTTATAAGAAAATATTGAAAAAATGTCTTATAAAAACAAGTATCCTGTAAAAAAGGCGACACTTTATACTAAAAGTGTCCTCAAAAACTTACTAAGACGTCCAAAAGCTTCCTATAAATTAATTACGTTGTCTTTAGATAGTACATTTTATTTTATTTTTTATATAAATTAAGTCTTGTAAAGCAGTCTATGATGACGCTTAGAAATCAATGATGTACTGTAAACCGTATTAAGACGTTTGAAATAAAGCTTATCAGAATCATTTTTCATTCGGTATTAATAATCGGTCACCTTCAACGCCAATCATTTTGTTTCGTCAAACGAAAAACAGTCATGGATATGAACATTGAACACTGCCATGGCAAGAAAACTACTTATTATCGATGTTCCTATCGATTCTTCTCATCTATATACTACTCGATCGCTTATTACTGAAAGTTGATCGTCTTCTAAAACCGACCACGACCCGTTTTGATCGTCAAGTCGTACGTTATGTTGATCAACTTTGACTTGGCACAACCAGCTGTCCTATAAGGTAAGGCGAGTAACGCCATAAATCCGAATTTGTGTTTCTAAATGTCGTTGATGTTGCGAGAAAGCCATTCCTGTCCATCAATGAAAGAGATATCCATGTAAGGAGTAGCTTCGTCTAAATTTAGTTGTTTCGCGTATGAAACCCTAAACGTGTTGTTTGCCCCCGGACCCGAGCATCCGTATTCTCCAAAGAAAACCGTCCTGAAATACATTTGACCGTTAGAGTACACGAAATGTTAATAATCCGTATTCCCCAAATGAATTTTAAATGAGTTTTCAGTCACAAGTATAAAATAATTTTTTATCTCCATCCACTACAACAAAATCGGTTTTACATGACATCTAGATTGTCTTAACGTCCTAATAGAATATTTTATAGAGCTTAGCTTTATAGGACCAAACTATAAAGCGTCATATCTAAAAGCGTTACAATAGGCTTATAGGACGTTTTTAGGCGTTTTAACAAGTTTTTAGAATAAAATGTCCTATTGGCTATTTTATAGAGCATTTTTGAAAAATGTTCTATAAACCCATCTTTTCATATGACGTTTTTCAAATAGTGTTGTATAAAATAGTTAATGTGACACCTTATTTTAAAAGCGTCTTATAAACCTATTGTAACACTTTTAGATAAGACCTTTTTTTAGTTTGGTCGTATAAACTTAAGTCCTATAAAGTATTTTTTTAGGACGCTTCTAAATTAGAAATACGTTAAATGGTCATTTTGCGGAACGAGCTTATGAAGAAGGTCATTGATGTAAATAGCTCGATTTGGGTAAGAGTGAAAAGACTAAAATGCCCATAACTGATCTCTAGAAGGGTCTCTCCAGTCATTCCAGCCATCAGCAGAAACAACTTCAGACATATAAGTTTTTATGAAGACCACAGTTGCATATGCACCCCAAGCCCTTCCAAGCCACACCCTACCACTTCCTCCAATACTACAATACAGAAACGAAAATCCCGATTTCTCGTTCACCGAGCTCCGTCCCTGTGCTGTTATTGCTCCACTGATCCCGCCACCAGTAGGGACATCACTCGCTATCGAGTTCAGCGTAGAATCCTGAAAGAAAATGGTGGTGGTTTAGACCGGATCCTTTGGTTGGATGACTTTAATTAAATGAGTTCTCAATTAGGAGCATAACGTTATGAATTCCTTCTTTTTAACTCAATAACCTTCATCTGTATACATACATACATACATACATACATACATACATATACATATATATATATATATGAGTGTGTGTGTGTGTGTGTTTGTATGCGTATGATTACCTGATAGAGTGATCTAGCGTTTCCAAATATGAAATCTATGGATCCTTGAATGAAACATTCCTTGAAAAAATGTCTTCCTCGATCATCATGAAGAGTATCTTGAGCTCCATAAAAACCACACCCATAAAAGGCTGCTTGATCACCTGCAATCCTCAGTGCCACTGCCTGTGCTCCAACTGCACCTTGGCTTGGAGGAGGAGCTGTGTTCTTTGCCAATATAAACCAACCATATCAATTTTTATAGCACGCATCATTTAAGTGTGTATATATATATATATATATATATATATATAAAGACTTTATTTAAAATTGTCCCTTGTTAGGACTTCCAAAAACATGCTATCAACTTATTGTAACACTTTTACATAGGATAAATAACTGATCTTAAAAACTTCTTTTTAACGAAGAACCCTAAAAATTGAAGTCCCTATAAAACAGTCTATTAGGACATTTTGACATGCTATAAATGAGTTATAGTGCTTATTTATGATTTACTTGAATTAATACCTTGAAGCTGATATTGTAAGCAATGAAATTTGGAGCAAAAATGGAGACTGTGGAGCTGTACACAGTGCCTCCAGTTGAATTTGCAGTGTCATTCCAAGTGATCTCTGTGTTGAGATAACCCTGACCTTGAATTATCAAATTCGTCTTTTCCTGGTTCACCGACACTTTCTCCCTGTAACAACCCGTTTTACATGGATAGAAAATTAGATTCCTAGTCTCGTTTAAGCTCAAAGTTATGGTCACCGGCCAGACTGCCACTTTGGGCGATGGCACATCACACTAACAGTTCACTTTCCTAGTTAACTTATCATGCGTCGAGTACACCTACTGCAACGAAATCGAGTTTATAGGACGCCAAAAATGTTTAAGGGGCTTAACATATATACTACTTTATAGGACTCAAGTTTATAGGTCGACCAAACATTTGTATGTCCTATCTAAAAGCGTTGTAATAAGTTTATATGAAGGTTTTGGCTTCTTAACAAACTTTTTAGGACACTTTTATGAAGTGTCTTGTACACAGTTTTTTACAGGACATTTGTTTTATAATACACCTTTTCTCAATAGTGTGCTATAAAAAAAAACTTTTTAAGACGTCTAAAAACGTCATATAAATTTATTTCAACATCTTTAGATATGACACATAAGTGTTCGGTCTTATAAAGTTAAGTCTTATAAATTAGTTTATTAGGACATTTAAACATTTTTGGTGTCCTATGAACACATCTTTTTATAGGATCCTTGTTTTATAAGACTTTTTTTTTCAAATAATATCGTATAAAAGGGCTAATAGGATACTTTGTTTCAAAAGTGTCCTGAAAAGCCTTTGAAGACACCTAAAAACGTCATTTAAACTTATTATAACACCGCAGAACACATCAAGTGTTTCGCCCTATAAACTTATGTCCTATAAAGTAATCTATTATGACACTCAGATATTTCATTGTTGGTGTCCTATAAACCCAATTTTGTTATATTGAACTAAAGAAGAAGAATTACCTATATGTGCCAGAATCAAGTATGATAAGAGTGGCCTTAAGGCTAGATTCAGGAACTGCATCAACTGCGCTCTGCAAACTGCTAAAGTTCCCGCAGCCCTTTTGATCAACAGTCAAAACAAGCAGAACTCCGTATTCTGATATGAGCCAAGAGTTCCACTTGGTGGAATCGCAACTGACCTTACGCCGCCTATGGTGGTGATGATGGTGGGGGTGGTGATGGTGGTGGTGGTGGCCATGCCTTGTTAGGCCAGAAATTTGGGCTGTGAAAGAGAAGAAGTCATAAATTCCAGTTTGGTCAACAACCCTTTTGAGGAAAGTGAGTTGAAAGGCAGGTATGGCTGAATTGGTGGTGTAGAAAGAGAGTATGATTGAAAGGAGAGCAATGGTAATAACAGATAGCCAAAAGCAGATGGTTTTGTTGGTGGTCATGCCTTTGGTTCTCAAAGGAACATTTAGAGGTATTTTGTGTTAAGAATTGTTGTGGAATGACTTGTTATTTATACACCCATGCTTAATGGGAATAATCATCTTTTCCAACACTCTAAGAACTTGTCTAAATACAGTAGAGGGTCTTTGACCTGGCAGTATCTGATCTTTTGATTTCCCGATTCCTACTGATTTAGAAAATATCGATTTTTAGGCACAACTTTTTGTATGAAATGTCTTTTTGTTTATGAGTCGTATATATTATACGGGTCGATTCAAGTAACAAGGCTAAATATCGTGAGAAAGGAAGGTAAGAGAAGGTTCATATGTGAATAATTAAAAAAAAGACGCGCATGTCAACCAACGTTATAGATACTTCATATGGATTTACATACGTATCTATAAATGAAAAAAAAATTCAATGACATTCACGTATGAATCTTTCGTTCTTATCTTTTATATTTATCCTTCTTATCTAAATCTTCCAATATAGACTTAGGATCATGTGAGACAAGACTGTTTTCCTAAGACGTGCGTGATCACGTAAGATGCACTAAACCTTTATAGTAAAACACTGTGAAGGTTACATTCACAGTATTTTTGATGTGAGGGTTCGTTGTTTTCATACCTTCACAATGGATCGATGTGAAGTTTCGATACTATTTTGTGGTCTCGTGAAAACAAGTTGGTTCCACGTGAATCCAACCCTTCGTAGATATATATATATATATATATATATATATAATTGATTTGTTAATTTGAAGGATGCAATCTTGGGAGTTAAGGGAAGTGAAAGGGGGGATGATTGCATAATGGCATGGAGGCGATTAATAAACGGAGGAAGATTGACCCACACGCCAAGTTCATGAAACCATGATGAAAGTTGAAAGGTGGGTGGAGTTTTAACACTAATTTTTTCCTAAATTTATTTATTTTTAGAATATTTTATTTAAAATAATTTCTTCTTTTTTGGAATTAGACATTCTTTTATCTTTTATCTACCTTATCTTTTATCGTTATCTGTCTTATCTTTTGTATCCAAGCTCTAAATACAAGAGGAAAGGCATTAGTCAAAAATCAAAAACCTTTATTAACTGGTTTAAATTTTTTATTTGTACCTTCATCTTGCATGGGTTTTTTCCAATCCCATATGGCTATATGCTTCTCTACCCCAAGTCACATCCAACGTGCCCCCACCCCATTAATTTTCTGAATCCGCCACTGCTTTTGTCTACCCGTATTCATATACTTCAATGTACCTCGTGCATATTTTATTACCTATAACTCCATGACTGAAACTTCAACAAATTCATGCATATATGAATGAATGTATGTATGCATGTGAAAGTAGACAGATGTGGTTGGAAATATGTAAAAGCAGAAGAATGTGACTGAAGGTCCACGTTTTGTGTGAACCGTCATATGAAGGTTGGTATTTTTTGTGAGCTATCGGATAAAAGAAAACAATTCCAAAACTCAAGATTTTCATCGTTCTCATTTCTCACTAGAACTCATTTGTTGTTACATGATCTCAACTTTCATTAGCAATTCATTAAACATGACATTAATTGAAAATCTTTCAAGAAGGTTTATACAACTTGAATTTTCCCAATAACCATTGGGTTAAGTTTAACAATAACTGCATGAAGGATCAATGGTTCAGATGGTTTTACATTTGGAAAAGCCAAAAAAGAAAAAAAAATGAAAAAAAGAACTAAGACATACAAAGGACGATCACTTGCTTACAATAAAGTGTTTGTTTGTTAAAGAGCTTAATGGGACTCGTAGCTTATGTGGTCAATTATGTGTAACTCTTTAGTAGTGATTTAATGATATAGAAATTGACTAATTCAGCAAGTCCTAGAGGGACCTTGATGCAAAAAGCCTAAAGAATTTCAAACTAGCCCCTCCAATTAAAAATTATATATACCCATTCCATCTATGAAAAAAAATCATCCCAAAACAAAAACTTCCCCAAATCCCAATCTATACAAACAGACTGATGTACACATACATCTTTTTCCATAAATGACTTAATGAAAAATCAACCAAACACCCCTAAGACTTGCTCATTGACCACATGAAAAAGCCATCCAGACCAGGCCAATAAACCCAATCAGGCCAAGTATTTTCTCAAAGACCCAAACAGGGTAAATTATAACACCCAAAACCTGACTCAGCCCCAAAAAAACCCAGATCGTGTGCATCCCTAGCATAAATTGACCCAGACGCCCAGAGAGTGGCGCTCACATCACCCGGTTAGAACGGGTAAGAACACAGGTCCTTTTCATTTCATTCTCTGGTGAAGTTTATACATAATGAGATGAGAACCAGAAAAGCAAATGAAAGAATAAACACATATGAAACCAGTCAGAACACCAGAAAGACATTGCTAAAACTAATCATTTCATCCATCATAACCGGTGGCCAATATTCATTGTTTAAAACAACTAAAAACATAAAAAGAAAACTTCCAAAGATTGCTCTCTCTATATATATAGTCTACCATCAACTATAATTACCTAAGCCCCATAAACAAGCTTAAGCTTCTCCGCCAAAAAAGCAAAAAAAAATGGGGATTCATTACCCAACTATTCCACAAAAAGGTTGAAAATGCCATCACCTGCATCTGTAACACCATTCTCAGCTTCAGGAACTTCTTTTTGTAGCATGGATGTTCCTTTAAATGTCATCATAGCCGAGCATGTTTGCCGCATGTCGCCAAGCTGAAACCCAAACAAATAACATACAAATGTGATTCAAGTTAGGGTTTTAATGAACCAAACAGAAGAAAGCAGCAAGCTCCAGGGGAAGACTGAAATGAGAACCATAAATACTTTGAGAAATGTGAGAACCAGAAATATGCATATACACTGTATGAATTTCAGTGAGTTAATGGGCCAATGCATATATAGTGCCTGTATAGTAAATATACATATTTGATGGTCTATATGCATCAATGCATATATATAGAGTCAAGTTCAGTGGAAACCGTAAAAAAAAGTTGAGGAACACCCTGATAATCGTTCATTTAGAAGATATGCACATGTGCATACAAGTAATTTGTTCATAACAACAAAGGAACAACTTCAATTACTTGTATGCACATGTGCATCCGTCCAAATGAAAACACACACACACACACATATATATACATGTGTGTATGTATATATGTATATATATATATATATCTATATATATGTGCATATACTGGTTTTCACAGTTCTCAAAACATTCGTGGTTCTCATTGAAACTTTTCCCTCAAGCTCCCCAATTTAACACGATCAGGGGAAAAGGCAAGAGTTTTGGACACTGAAATTTCCATGTTTCGCAATAATTAACTGTCATATAAACCAAACCAACCCAATATACACGGTCTTTCCTCTGCCCAAAGAGTGAGACTGTTTAAATGATAACTCACCCACAAAATTAACTTTCATATGTTAATATAATCTAAAGATAAATATATTTCTATATTTTAAAATAAACCTCTTAATCAGAGTTGCAAAGAATCAAACCCATGCTAGTTCACTCAAGCACCTATCTCTACTTAACGCTCATAGAGGACATTTACCTGTTCTGGTGCTATCGTTTGAAAACCAAATTTTTTGGTCCATATGGATTTAGCTTCCTCTGCAGCTGGAAGCACAATCTTCTTTATTTTCAAAGACGAAAGTAATCTCTCGATGCAAGTAAATAATAGTTGAAAGTAGCCCTGCCAATGTACAGTAAAGCCAATAAAATCACTAAAGATAGAGATCACCAAGATAAACTACTTGAAGCAAGTATTTAATGGAACAACATTCACATACAGATTGCTTCATGACTTTAGTAACTCAAAGGATAAAAAACCTACCCCCTCCCTCTCATGAAAAATTGCAAAACTGACCATTTTTGGAAGGCTTATAATTACATTTACATATTTGTCCAATGGCCTCATTACAATATGTTGATTTTGATCCACAAGATTTCTTTAGTTTGTCATCGTTGAAGCTACTTTTAGGTGTATGACAAATACCTAAACATGTTAAATTATGTGCTCGAGTCAAATGCTATAATTGTACATCTGGGCAAAATTTATTACTTATTCTTTCAGGATAAATGTCGAAGAAAATCTTTTATCTCCCATGGGGTTGCAGGATATTAGAAACAAATCAAATTAGGCAGAAGTTAACTCTAGCATTGGAGGAGAGAGTGGATTCAGAAGCTCTGAGAAGTAAGAGATGCTAAAAGCGCTCACATATATAGGGGCATGCAAAGTGCAACTACAATGGTCTGAGCTCGGAAAGTTTTTTCAAGGGAATATATTCCTCACCTTCCCCTGGTTACATTTACTTGTAGCAACAATTGGGAGCTCCGCTATGTCCTGTCCAAAAACTCGAAGGGTTCCAGCTGTTACTACATTTGAGCTGCACAATCAGAATAAGAAACCATTAACGTCATCACTCCTAAATACAACCACTTAAACAAACACCTAGGCATAACCATCTCCCTTATTCTAGCAACTAATTGTTGAATAAGCATTCCAAAAAAACTGGGTGGGGATCGTTGGATTTTTCTCAAATTGTGTTCATTAATTGACTTCTCCCAACTAGTAGGTAATCTTTCCAATCCTCTATTGTAAAATTAAATTAGTCACATAAGCAAATGTACCAAAATAATGTAGTATCAAACGTTATTCTCATATGTGTACATAATCCTATAATAACTATCTAAATAAACCGCTTATGCGTCCACTTAACAAGCTGCTTAATCCACCCCAAGGCGATGAGCGCTAGAAGGGCCAATACCGCTACTTGAAGGTCTTAAGTCTTCCCTTAGATTATTCTCTAGATTAGGAGGTGAGATAATCTAGAGCATAATCAAAAGGAAGATCAAGACTTCAAATCATTGAAGAGGAGCCCTGCCTGCTATAATGTGAAAGTCATATCATAATGCGTACCTATTGTGCATGTAATAAATTTAGAACTGCTATTTTGCCAGAAGAAAAAACTGTATATGCAAAACAAACACAAAACATATACAAAATAAAACAGAATGTCCTTACTCCATTATCAATATTGCACAAAGCATTCCTGCAAAATCTTGGCTCCAAATTTTCCTTCTGTTGAGAAGAATCATGGGGGAGATGTTTTAGGTAATAAATAACAAAGAGAAGTAACTATTTAATATACATTCTGTTTATGCTTACCCATACACCATTGACGGAATAAAGTCACGTCCAGTTGTTGCATCAATAATAGGGTCAAAGCATTCCTATTAGCATGAAAAAAGAGAGAAAAAATGGTTATCGGCAGCTCATTGTGCTAGTCCATGTATTCAAAGCGAGACAGACAATTCTTTCATGTGTCTGCCCCCATACATGTTCAATGTGGCTAGATTGAAAGACAAGAAAAATTAATTCGTTGAAGATGACCTAGGAGTCACTATGGCTTCACGAATGCATCCAACCAGACCCGATGGGGGCTTATTCTCTTTTAGAGAGTAATGTTTGTTAATGCTCCAGGTTTCAGGAAAATTATTACTTGATCATAATAATAGTGTTCTCACTAGCAAAGTAAAGAAGCTTAACGACCCTATTAGCCTCTGTAGTTATTCTTCTACAAGAATTACAAAAACCAGGGAAATCTGTTAGCAACTCACTACAACTGAAAATATGCTTTTTCTCTGCTTAATCTAGTAAGCTATCGAGAAGACAATAATTCACAGGAAGAAACCCCATATATTAATAACTCAAGATATCACCCCAACATGTTCCACTTAGAACCATCTTCTGACTTCAATATAAGGGGTCCCCTTAGTTTTCATCCTCCTTGATTTATCCAATTTTCATATGCTCCTATCTGTTACTCTCTTAATTTCTAAGGGTCACCATTCCAAAAATAAGTTGCTGCATACTACTTCCTCCTTCCCAAACTAAGTGTCCACCTTTCTATTTTAGTTTGTCCCAAAAATAACCACTTTCAAAAGTAAGTTTTCACTTTCCCATTTTACCCTTAATTATCATATCGAGAGTTTCTCTCTCTATTATTAAGGGTAAAAGTGTCATTTAGTTATTTAAAAAATGTAATAATCACATACTCTTAAAATTGTGTCATTTTCATTGTAGACATTTATTTTGGGACGGAGGGAGTACTACCCTACCACAATCATACATCGCTTAGAGGCAACAAAAGTGCATCAAAAATCAATAACAGTATTGTCTCTCTAGGTGAACACCATATTACTAAAAGAAATGCTATTCTTATTCTTGATATGTATTGTGTGAGAGCTCCCATTTATGCTCTAATACCATGGCGCGCAGTCTCTGATCTAGACAACACCCTGGATGAGAAATTGTAAGCACTAACATGCATAACACTCTAGAATCAAAGCAGTACTCACATGAAAGATATCGACAGTTTGTGCCAGCAACGATCTGGTCTCACGAGAAGCATTCTTGCCACTGAGAAGCATAAACCTCATTTCAGATTTAGCAATGCCGTCTATCCCGTTATCCTTTTGCTTCTCCCTTGCTAAAGCCAATAGAGCATCAGGGAGCATCTCTGGTTCACGAGTTAGCAAATTCTTCAAAATGGAATGAATTCTCTCACAACCCATGCAGCAGAACCACTTCCCCTTTGGCAATGCCTATAAGATGTGAATAATAATACTATGTCACATGACAAAGTCCGATCTATGCAGAACTGATCGTTTCCACTGGTAAGAAGAAAACACTAGGAAAAGTAGATGAAGAAAAGTAGTTGCATATATACACCTTCAAATCAGCCATATTATGTTCCTTCAGACAGCCAATATGATATTCCTTTTCACACTGAGAAGGTCATGAACAATGCATAATGATTAGGTTAACTGAAAGTGATGGATACAGAGTCCAGAAGCCAATTTCTATTTAGCAACTCCATTAGAGAAGTGACTGCAGAAAAAGTTCAGTTACCTGATCACAAACTATAACTGTTCGATCATTAAAGACATGTTTGCTGAAATCATGGCATCTGCACACAACAAAGTTTCTCAGACAGGATTGTATCAGTTGAAGATATGTCATAATATTCTGCAAACAGCATTACCTGCACAAAACACATGCAACAAGATCATTGTTTTCTGGGTTCTTCACTATACGAATGCAACGCTTTGTTATCTGCTCTATAGGATCAATCCCTGTAACCCTTCCAGCTGCTACAGCGTTGACACTTTCTCCCACAAACTTCAGTGAGTGTTGGCAATATTTGCAATACCATTTTCCACGAGGGATGCTCAGTTCAGATGCACATTCTGTGTGCACCAACAGAAAGCATATTAGACCATTACCATTGCATTCAGCAGCCAATTTGTGGACATTTCATCACCAATGCAGGACATTCTTTGGTAAATATTAACCTGGCTTCTCAGATATCTCTTACGAACATGTTACTATACAAATGTACAATCTCTACTCGATAGAAAGTTATACCCTCCATCCACATCTACCGTGAACACTCTTTCCTTCCATCTCCTTCCTATCTCTTTTATATTTTCTGGTTTCTCACAAGTACCTTTTCAGGATATCGTATTTTGATTGGGGCATTCCCTTAGTTCTATACTTCTCTAAAGCGTGTAAAAAATGAATATGCATTGCCTATGGAAACCTCATGAAGAGAAGATACATGTGTCAACTGAGCAGAAGATGATTTGTAAGAAAGTACACAGCACGAACAGAATCAAGACTCTTAGCAAGTTCACACGAGTCAGTTGGACAACCAGGCAAAATGGAGGTAAGCAAGTGGAAAGTTTTAATGGCAGGGTCATTTGTTTCTTAACTAAGTTCCAGCCTCCAATTGAATGACAAGCTGGGAGTTCACAGGTAACAGGTGAACTTCTAAAAACATCCATTTAGAATCGCTAACAGGATGTCAATCAGATCCAGTATAAAGATATGGTCGGTATTTATTGTCCAGAACTCATGTATAATTAATACCTTCCTGATCACATTTTTTAAGTCTATTGCAATTACTAACATAAATAAATGAAATAAACATGTTAACAATGGCAATACCTATTGATTTATGCTACTTCGACCCTAATTACCAAAATGCCCAGAACTCAAAGACTACAGAATGATATTCAATTCACTCTGAACAATATTATGATGAGAAAAAGACACACCAATCATATATTGGCATTGTCTCTTGATAGGGAATATGAATCAAACAATCAAATATAGCCATATCTCTGTTGCAGAGTGAATTACATGAGTGGAGAGGATTGCAGAAAGCAATTAAGGAGAAATTGGACAAGAGACAGATAGCGAGAAGATGGAGGAACAGTGTTTCTGATTGTAAATATTCGATGGTGGCTTCATCAACGAAGAACTATTTAAAGCACTCAAACCAAATGACTAGCACATTAAAAATATTAACACTCAGTTTTAAATTTGACCTTGATGAAACGACCTAGGGCATCCATCACAAAGCAAGAGATTTCCACCATCCCCACAAATTCTACACAGATCATCATTAAACTTCACAGGACATCTGCGGTTTTTCTTTAAGGAGACTGCATATTCATGGAGAGACACTCCGTTTGAGATGTAAATGTTTTCATAGCTGCCAAGATTTGGAACATGAAAGTCAGTAAAAGCAACACTTGTACAGAGAAACTAGAAGAAAACATCTGCATGCATTTTAGAGACAACTCACGGTTTTTTGCGTGAGGCCCAACCAGCATGAGCTTCAAACTGCGAGGCACTGACCTAGCATGGATGTATAAAATTATTGCACCCTCTATATTCAAACAGTCTTAGGCTCAGAATGGGAATTACCTCAGTGTTGCAGCAGAAACAATATATTCCACGGCCCAACTTATAACCATCTAGAAGTTTCTGTCAATAAGAGAATGTTAGATTCCTTTCAAGAGAATTATATGACGGTATATATGTTATAAATCCTTTCAAGAGAATTATATGACGGTATATATGTTATAAACGCGCCACCTTTCCATGACTAACATAAGTTAGTTCAGTTCCATCAGGTAATCCTCCATCCTCAAAAACTGACCAATGCATCCCCTGATTCCTGGATAACATCAGAAGACCCAAAAAAAGGTTATTTTCATGCAAGCTATGGGAAGGAATTCCATTACAGTTAGAGACCAACTTCATTGTTAGCTTTGTTCGATTCTTCTGTTGAGAGGAGGTACATTTAGTAGCACTTTCAATGGACCTTGGTAGAGAAGCGGACCTTGATGACCTGAATCACCCAAATTATATTAGTACTTCTAAAGCAAGAACTAAGTTTGCCAGATCTTTACTATTGGAGAGTTGAGACCAAAGAAAAAAAGAATTTGGATTAAGTGCCAAAACCAAGGACGTTGTACACTTGTACCAACCTTTTTAATATCTTCACTTTTATCTTATTACGTAACAATTTACAACTTGCAGCACTTTTCGATGACTTCAGATCTGCCTTTGATGACCTGCAACGTCATGTGATAAATCTGTCATATACGGGAGGGACATTACCTACCTCAAGCTCAAAACTCGAAAAAGAATATCATTCAACATTATATGAATCGACAGGATAACCCACTTCATTGCCATCTTCCGTTCACTCTTCTCATGCAACAGATCAGACTTGGTATGACTTCTAGGAGATGTCAATCCCCCAATGTAAAATAAAGTGAATTAGTCTTCTAACCATCGTAAGTGTAGTTTTGTGGCAAAACAAACACCAGTATACTTGCTAAAATGCAGAACCAGATTAAAGATACAAGATAAACAATAAACTAAATCGAATTGAAGTATGTTGGAACGATTGCTATCAGCATTTTCCTATGGTTATTTTGCATTGAAATGAGAAGTAAACGGGTTAGAATCGTTCACCCTGACATGCATTTAGCAAATATAATGGTTAGTTGAAAATAAAAGTACAAGTAAGATGAGTATCACTATTTACTTGTAATATACAAACAAGAAGAATAATATAAGAGAGATATCCAAACAGCTGAGCAGAGTTAAAAATGTTATCTTCAGCAAAACGAAAAAAGGGATGGAAAAGTATTAGCCAAAATAGATACTCACTTTCTTTTTCTCCCTCGTCGACTCTTCTTATTTGACGAAATTGGAATAAGGGTACTTGCAAAGGCCTTCCGAACTGGACTTGATGTCCTAAGAGTAAAGGAGTTGGACAATAAATTTCCCGTTAGAACTAAAAAGCAAGTAAAATTAATTACACTCGTCCAAATACATTAATGATAAAAATCCTAGATCTCATGATCAATGACAAAGACATAATCTTTTCCTGATTGGCCTAGAGCTACAATATAAATGAAGATATAGCTGCTGAGGCTACATGTAGAGTTGATCCTCCCTCAAAGATGAGCATTAATTTAAACTCCATGTTGTAGAAGTGACTTACATTACTTTATGAGGGCAATCTACCAACCCTCTTAACATTCACAAAGTATACAAAATAAGTATTTGGAAGAAGATCGATCTTACCATTTATTATTTCAGTTCATACAGACACCCAGTAATTTGGGTACCTCCTTGATACAGTCTTTATTCTATGGGCATGGACAGAAGAGGAGCGTTGTTTCAATTGTGTAAATGGATAAGATAGGGGTTTCCAATTTTTATTTACAATGAAAGTGAAAAATAGTAATAATAAAGAGAGCACAAAAGATAATAGTAACAATAGAAAGAGCAAGTAGCCTTGGGAGTGCATGAGAGATGCAACCATTAAGATGATAGGATCTTTTAAGCAGTATCTGGCCAATATGGAAAAAAAATAAGTTCAACTATTAATTCAATCACAATTTCTAAATCATACAACTTTGTTAAGAACATGAAGCAAACGAAAAAATAACAAGAACAAACAAAATCATGATGTACCATATTAGACAAAACTTTTAAGGTGATTTACCCTAAATCTCTTACTAAATTGGTTTCCACTGGTGGTTCTGGTGCAACTTCTCATGGCAGCAGCTCAGATGAGGTTGCCATAATCTTTTCTTACCATGTTAGTTCTTTTGTTTTAGGATTGCAATACAACATACAATACTGATATTCTCTAATACGCTGTAGAACATTTGAAGATTGCAACTAGGGTAAACTCAGCTAATATCCCCACCCAAATGTTTTCTTGAATATCTCAAGATGCATCGATACCAACAATATTAGAATGTTGACATGGAAGATTGAGCATTACAGTTATTGAGATAGATCAATGAATACTAGAAGTACACATATGTATAAGCAACATGTTCGATAGATACACATGTCAAATAATACGCACCTTACTTCCCCACAAATTGCAATCTTTTCTCCAGCTTGCACCACGCAAGAATCACAAATTAACAAATTCCCAGTAGAGGATGGTTCAATGGAGCCTAAAAAAGAATGCCATGGTTCAGAAAAGATAATAGCCAAAGTTGTATAACAAGCTATATCTGTTAGATCATTGCTCACCTTTGCATCTTGTACACATGGAAGGTCCCTTCTCAGGAAATGAACTAATTACAGCCTGAAATGCTACTTCTAGTGTTTCCAACGCCGATGCTTTACATACTTCGATCACCTCAAGGAGGCTTTTCCCATTTTCAAGGCAGATATGCTTTATCGCATGTCTGTAAGATTTGCGTGCATGCATTTCAAATTGAGAGGGTGAAATAACCTGCCATTAGACAAGCAAATAAAACTCAAATGTGTGCTTAAAGACGTTAAAGAGAATACATGTCATATGAGATCACGTCATGTTAGGATTATCATAACTCACTTTGGTACCCTCACACAAATTGCAAGAACACAGTATGCCAGCACCTCTGATTAGCCCTTGTAGATTTCTTCCCTGTAATGAAGACAATGAAAACCACATTTATTTATGCATGGTTCAACAGAATAGAAAAGATTGGGATTCATTGCCACAAAAGTACCACCAACCAAATCTGGTAACTCATTTTAATATATATGGATTGCTTGAGTTAATGGGGACTAAATTGACAAAATAAAATCTGAACAAGGTCTGGGATGCCATTCTAAATTGCTTAAACAAACGCTCAACTAATATAGAGACAAGTTGTCTAGAATTAGAATCTGGGTTGCCATGAGATTTATGACCTACTCGTTGATAGTTTGTTCTGAAACGATGTTTCAACTTAAACATGGATTCCGTTCCCTTGCATAATTTAATAACTATTACGTTAATGAAAAACAACACTAACATAGCACATGCATGAAATAATTTCCATAAAAACTCATGAAGATGCCAAAAAGTTGCTCTATAGTCTATGTACATTGAGAACCAGCATCTGAATCTATTATACCAATCATCTTGGTCACAAAGAATCAATAGAAACCTTAAATTCACTCAATTATCAGCTTTTTTATATTTGTCTTAGACTCTTGGTACCAATAGCCTACACACACCATTGCCATTCCATGATGAAACTCAGGCTGCATGCTAGTAATGATAATGAAAAGAAAGCCCTAAGGACACTTACACAAGAGGGATGGCACCTTTAATGATCAGTCCGTGCTAATATGAATTCCTTCCCTAAGCAAATAATTGTCAAATCTCATCGAATATTCTTTCCTTTGTACCTTATTTGGCTCAAATCAGATTCAAAACACAAACGGTCTTCCTAATTACCAAATGCTAAACATAACATCCAAAAGAAATAAATGAAACAACTTGAAACAAATTATGATCTATTATTAAGCAGCCTACCTCGTTATCGAAATCGTAGAAAACACGGAAACCCTCTAGCATACCAGTCTCAAGAAGCTCCCTCATATTAGTCGGCATTCTACCCAACCCAATCTTCTTAGACATTTTCAATTCCATCTTCTTCCTGGTTGGAGTCCCCAATTCTTCCACATTCTCCTCCTTCTCCTTCACTGCTGATCGCGTAAATCTCTTAAGAGTACTGTCATTCACTTGTTTTTTTCTGTTTTTACGCTTCACGTACACCTGCGCCAATTTTGTATCCTTTTCTACGCCCTTGGCTACTTCCGCGGTGGGCGATTCTTCTTCACCCTTGGCTACTTCCACGGTGGCCAATTCTTCTTCGCCCTTGGCTACTTCCACGGTGGCCGATTCTTCTTCGCCCTTGGCTACTTTAACCGTGGCTGATTGATCGTCCCCCTTTGATTTATCAACATTTATCGAATCGCCATCCGGAATCCCAGTTTTAGCCCTTTTCCTCCGTCTACTCACATGAACTTCATCAATCAAATTCTCAGAAAGATCAATGGATGATCGCACTTTATTCTTCCTTCTAGTATTACTGAACTGAAGTGATGGACTTTTCGAAGATCGTGTCCGACCATAGAAGCAAGCGAACTGAGATCGAGCCTCCAATGCGAAAGCTAGCTCTCTCTTCATTCTTGATTTCAATGGCGATTGATTGTCAAGTTTAGGTTTCAAAAAAAAAACAAAATTCAACTATATTATCTGTGAGAATGTGCGATATGAAGGAACCCAATTGAAAACCCAAGATTCTTTTCAACAACGAAATCCTCGCTAGGTTTGAGGTTTCAGAGTTTACCTGATCTGGTGCTCTCTCAAAAAATAACCCTAGATTTCCTGCAGGTACAGAAACAGGGGCCCTGTATTTGTGTGAACTGAATCACAAAAAAAATTAAAAATTAAAAATTAAAAAATTAAAAATTACAACCATTTTTCTTACTTTTTTCTAACCAGTCAACCACCCAACGGAAGGGGTATTGACTTCTTTTAAAATGTGTTTTTATTTTTATTTTTATTTTTATTTTTATTTTTATTTTTATTTTGTCAAACAAAGTTTAAAACCGAAAGGAGCTGGTCTTCTCTGTTAGCAATCAACGTTGTAATTATCACTACATAATTTTTAACATCCAACTGATGTCGGGTTTTTGGGTTCCGTCACGGTCAAAATGTCTTAGACTTCATGGCTTTTAGGGAACTTCGGTTATGATGGTTATGTATAGGTCGTCACCGAGGTCACGAGTTGCTTGACCACTCGGTTTATATCTCTTTGGTGGCTAGGATCGGTTGTAAAAGAACATAGTTCAATTAGAACCGGTCAAAGGCCGGTTCAGTTAACCAATTTGCTCATATTTATCGTCCCTACCTATGAATTCCGTTCTTAACTAACGTTTTACATTTTCAATGTCTGATTTGACTTAATTCTGACTTAAACAGAGTGTATATAGCAATCCCCTTATCGAAGACCTTCCACCCTTCATTATCAATACAAATCTTAACTTCCGTCGAAACAAGAAAGACCAACATGTGCTCTCCGATCTACTGTCGCATCAATCGTATTCGATATTAACTCATTTGGTTAACATGCTTCTCGATTCAAATTAACCAACTCGTTAAAATACAACGATACCTTACCTCGCGCTCTACAAGTTCAATTACGAAAAATACAAAAAAAATGGATATACGTATAGATTTACGATGAATCCCTGTGCGTACACGAACTACATTGAAGACATCGTTGTGGAATTTATTTGACGCTCTCTGATTTTCATGTACAAACCCTGCAAAAACCCAGAAACGTTTAGTTTCATGTCTCGAAAAAGAGATTGAGCTAAAATATACATTTTTGGCCGGAAAATGGAAGCAATGGCAAATACGATAGGAACAAGAGGTATAGCGGGCGAATAATTTTCTGGCCAAATATACGATAAAAAGATTGGCGTGAGAAAATTACGTTTGTTGTGTGAATCGTGGCGCCCGTTGTCATGTTAATCTTTTGATTCGGAACCAACTCGAAGTCCATGTTCTGCAAAAAGATTGCAAGAGCAACAATCGCTTCCAGCATGGCGAACTGATCACCTACGCATTTACGTGGGCCGCCGCTGAACGGGATGAACCTACAACGAAATAGGACATGATCTAACCGAAGGAAGAGATGGAATTGGATTTTTAAGGTCAAACACCTCGTTTTCAAACTTCAGAATAGATACAAGAGGGGAAAGTTCATTCAGAAATTGTAAATAATTTGAGAACCGTGAGAACTAACTATTCATGAATTATTCATAATAAATGTATCCAAATATTCATGAATATTATGCATTTTCAATTTTTCATCACCATATTCATTATGAATAGTTGGTTCTCAAATGAACTTTCCCCTACCAGATAATGCGATATACAAAAAGTTGACCCGAAACCTGTAAAAAATAAGCACGTTACGAAAAAGACACAAAATTACTTGTAATCGGTGTTCGTTTCATTTGGCACGGGCCCATCCAAGCCAAATCTTTCGGGTATGAATTCTTCAGCCCTTTCCCAGACCTTTAAAATTTTCAATGGGAAAAGTAGAATTCAGAATCACATCCATGTCTGAAATCAGAATAACAAAACAAAAAGCAGAAACCTTTATTTGTAACGTATCGTATAATCACACCTCGGATGAATGATGGATGTTATACACCGATATCATAATATCTTGACCAGGATTGACTTTGTAATTTCCAGGAAGCTCGTCTGCAACTTGAGCTCTTCTTATCAACACCTAACGAAGATGGTCTCAGAGAATTGTGGAATAATTTGGTAAACCTTAATTAAAAAGTGATTCTAGCCGAGGTGGGACTCTAACACGAGACAAAGATGTATGAGAGTGTCGTGTCCCAGGCAAAGATGCCCCGGATGATAGGCATTGGCTCAGATACCATGTTAGAATATGTGGAACCCCAATAGATTACTCTTCAAAAGAGCCCCTTAAGGAGTAACGGTGTAATCTCAGGCCAACCGTATCAGATATTGTCTGCTTTATCCACAGACTCACGGTTAAAAACGAGTCTGATAGAGGAGGTATCAAAACCCCTTGTAAAGGCTTTGTTCCCCTCCCCAACCAGTGAGGGATCTTACAATTTACCCCCTTGGGAGACCCGAACACCGGTTTGGTTCCTGACTCTAATACCATTTCTAACATCCCTAGTCAACCGTACCGGATAGTGTCCACTTTGTCCACACACCTGGACTCACGGCTTTTAAAACGCGTTTGATAGAGGAGGTATCAAGTTCCTTATAAAGGCAACCTTTGTTCCTTCCCCAACCAATGTGGGATCTAATAGTAATGGAGGTTCCAACATATATTGAAGAGAAAGTGTCCAAGTTAAGCCGATGTGGGACTCTAACACGCCCCTTCCATCGGAGGCTAGACTGACAAAGATGTCCAAGAGTGTCAAGTCCCAAGCAAAAAATTTCCCAGATGATAGATATTGGCTATGATACTATGTTAAAATATGTGGAACCCATTAGACTACTCTTCAAAAGAGCCCCTTAAGGAGTAACAGAGGTTCCAACATATATTGAAGAGTAAGTGTCCAAGTTTTGCCAAGGTGGGACTCTAGCACGCCCCCTCCAACTGAGGCTAAACAGACAAAGATGTTTGAGAGTGTCGAGTCCCGGGCAAAGATGTCCCAAATGGTAGACATTGGCTCTGATACCATGTTAAAATATGTGGAACCCATTAGATTACTCATCAAAAGAGCCCCTTATGAAGTGAAGGAGGTTCCAATCAATGTGGACAAATGTGAACTAAGGAGCTTTGAGTTATCGTTAGCAAGTCATCACTCGTGTGAGCCTAGTTTAGCATGGAAATAATGGTGTTTTACCAACCGGAGGATGCGGGTAGAGACGCATTGACTCATTTATGCATCGTGTCAGGAACTTGAGGTTCTTTATGTCTTCATAAGTCGGTCGGCGGCCTTGTAACACTCTGTCAACTTCTTCTTGCGCCTTCATTAAAGAAGATGGATCCTGCATAATCGAACATAACGATCCAAATTAAATGTATCAAAATCTTAAAGGTCAATAATGCACTCGTATAAAAGAGCATAGCTGTCCAAATATCCGAAAGTAAGATCTCGGAGGGGTAGCATGTACTCATCCCCTACCTCCCCAGGATGGAGAGGTTGTTTTTGTGAAGACCCCCGGTTTGGGCACGACGCAAAGTGTTATATATTTATATTTATAGGGTTGGGTTCAGGGGAAAACCACAAAAAAAATGGAAAACCGAGAAACACCCTAATAACCATTCATTTGTCCGTTATGCACGTGTGCATAAAAGTAATTGAAAATGTTTCCTGGTTTCTATGCTCAAATCACAAGTTTGCCGAATTGGTGAGGGGATACCTTACTTAAAAGATATGTAGTCCACGTTAACACTGAACCAGTGGTCTCGTGTCCAGCAACCAACATCGACAAAAGGTCATCACGTAGTTGTTCACTCGAAACCTAAGTGTAAAACAGAGAAAGAAGATTAACCATTAACAGAGACCAATATATATATACACACACATATGGTCAGGTTCAGGGAAAAACCACAAAAAAAATGAAAAAATGGAGGAACACCCTAGTAACCGTTCATCTAGACAATATGCACATGTGCATACAAAATAATTTGTAAGCAATTTGTCCGGTATGCACATGTATATAACATGCACAAGTGCATAGAAACCAAGAAATAGCTTCAATTACTTGTATGCACATGCGAATATTGTATAGATCGATTTAGATCACTGCTTTGACTAGAAAATCAAATAACAGACACGAAAACAATCAAGGTGCACCATGGTCCCTCAGTTTTTTTAGGATTAGGAAGTCTTTGTATGCAATTTTTCCGTTAAATGTACAAGGGACAATAAATTAGTTTGCAGACCTCCTCCCTGCTAGCAAGCAAGAATCGGAGGATGCTTGGATCTGCGTCGTTCACATAATCTTCCTCATTGATTCTTTCCCCTTCTTTTTCAACAATCTCCTTGCATTTCAAAATAAGCTCTTCCACAGTTTCTCTAATCACAGTAACTGCTTGTTCGGCTTTTATTTGTCTTGGAATGATCTTACATAATGCTTTAATCTGCATCAAAACCAAGCAGTCAAAATCGGCAACGAAACTAAAGCAAAAGAAGATGACAACCAAAGAGGTGTAAAATATTCGACTATTTGCTAAATATTTAAAATAACATTTAATCAACCAAATAAACCCCAATATATCCCACTTGGAGGTGGGACGGGACGTAAGCAGACCTGTCCTCTACCTCATATAGTAGAGCGGCTGTTTCTGTGAAGCCCTTCGTGGATAAAACTTGCTTAAAATTTTGTTGAGAAAGAAATAAGAAGAACATGAAAATAAGAAAAGGCAACGCTTAAAATAGCCTTTAATATAAACCAAATAGTAGAATTTTATGCCCCCAAATCAGAACTGCAAATTATGAATAGTGATCATGGTGTTAAACTAGGTCATTTTAACATCAAATTTCCCCCAAAAGGAGATGTTGCAATTAGTATGAGACATCCCGAAAAGAAAATGCGAGCAATTTGAGTGAGACGGAGGAAGTATTAGTTATCTTGTTGCATTCCCAAAAGTTTAAAGATCCACAAAACATTGTAGTTAAATAGTATTCCCTTCATCCCCAAATAAATACAGTGTTCTAACTAGATTCCATATCTGTAAGAGTCCATCTGTGTGGAGAAAACGGACAATATCTGATAAAGTCTATGCTTTTCATTGCGGTTCAATAGCAGTTATCGGTCATAAGCAAAATAACGGTGGTAGAATTGCAGTGGAAATTGCGGTTTTGATAATAGCACCGTAATTTACCACTATTGCACCGATATATGAGGTAAATAGCGGTTTGCTATACCCATATTTTCAGACTTTTGAATCTAATGCATACATTTTTGTCTTTTTTTTGCTTTTATTTTGATTTGGGCCCTTATTTTATTTTAATCCATTAATAGTCAACGAATATCATCCAACATCCAGTTTAGAAATTCTTAGAATCTTAGGTTTTCAATTTCTTCTATCATCGTCGATAGTCAACCTTCTTCGACATTTTTCGAGTTTTCTATCATTGTTTATGAACACTTTTCCTATTTTGTTTTGTGAAACTTGTTTAAGTTGATGTTTTGATGTTGAAACTATATTTTTAATTAATGCACATAATATGTTTATGTATGCATACATATATATTATATATATATATAATTCTAAGAAATATTATATGAACCATTATTTTTGGACCGCGATAACCGCTATTTCAAATATCAGTCTTGACTGCTATTTTATATTTTGACTGTTGTAACAACATAAGGTACAGTTGACCTGTGATGTTACAGATGGTCTCAGAGCCGGGAACCGGACTAGTGTGGGATCCCAAGGGGGGTGGATTGTAAAATTCCACATTGGTTGGGGACGGAAACGAAAGTTCCCTTATAAGGGACTGGATCAGACGTGTTTTAAAACCATGAGTCCAGGTGTGTGGACAAAGCGGATAATTTCCGGTATGGCTGACATGAGATGTTACAATATCAAACCAAAGGAAATGTTGCATTTATTTGGGAAGGCGAGAATAAATGCTAACTGGTTTGACCTCAAAAGTCAAAACAATGGCAACCATTTTTCGAAGTACATAAAACATGGTAGCTATAAGAACTTGCCTTCCAATATGGTAAGAGGTCGGTTGAACGGGCTTCGGCTTCTTTCAGTGCGGTGTAAACAGATTCAATCACAGGACTATCAGTAGTGAGGGAATCAAAATTGTAGTTAAATACTGCCAGACCAATAACATCAAGGGTTAATTGAGAAAACTGCTCCTCCATGTTAACAGAAGTGCCATTGAGTGCTAACGATTTGAGCTTGTCCACAAACCTCTGGGAACATTTGCAAAATACTCGATCAACTATTACTGATAAGTACTTCTTGTGAAGTGATGGAACTACAGCCCTCCGCCTTGCCTGTAAAGAATTAGAGTTTGCACTTTAAACTGAGATAGTAAAGTTCAAGTCTTTTTTTGGTTCTGATTTGAAAGAATCAAATAGGTTCACTAAAACTCCTTCGTATATATGACCAATATGCCTGAAAAACAATTGAATTCAACAAATAGTAACCGTTTCAAGGGGACAATCTATCAAAAACTAAAAATTATGTACAACCCATAAAAGCTTTTTCGCATTAAAATTAAGTTATGACAATTGTCCAGAGGAAAACCCAGAAAAATGAAAAACTGAGGAACACATTGGTAATTTTTCATCTGGACCTTATGCACATGTGAATACAAATAATTGAAGTTGTTTCTTGGTTTTTATACACATGTACATACCGGAAAAATTGCTTGCAAATTACTTATATGCATATGTGAATACCGACCGAATGGGTTACCAGGGTGTTTCCTAGTTTTTTATTTTTAGATGAACTATTACCATTTTTGGTTAGTGGGTGTTCCTTAGTTTTTCATTTTTTAGCGGTTTTCTGCTGAATATGACCCTAGTGTTTGTTTCCTACAGGCTACAGGTGTCTTCTTACAACAATTAACTTTCTAAGATCAAAAAGCATTAGCCTATGAAACATATGATTGTAAAGCAAAATATGTTCAACTGAAATTATCATCACAAGAACAACAACCAACCAAGAAAACCTACAACTACCACACAAACCAACACCAATTTCTGGTATAAATATCATATGCACCGATTATACGAACAAAACAGAAAGCAAAATTTACCGTCCAAAGTGAACCTTCAGCAATGGCGAAACCAGAACCAAACAAGAACTCAGACACCTCAGCAACAAGACCTTTAGCATACTTAGTTCCATAATTCCTCAAAACATGCTTGGCAATTAATGGATCACTAACAATCACGAAATTCCTTGGCCCAGCTGCTAATCTATAAATAGGTCCGTACTCATTCATCCATTTGAACAACGGAAGAAAAAGGGCTCCACCCAGAAGGTCCGATACATCTTCCAGCTTAGCATTTGCAATGGGTATGTTTGAATCGTCGGATTGGGTGGTGGAAAGGGAGCGAGTCAAGGCGGTGAGCCAATCTGGGCTGACCCATGACCCGTTTTTCGCGATGGAGCCGGGTTTGGATTTGGGTTTGTTCTCAATTGAAGATTTGATTGTTAGAGATCGATGGTTTGTAAATTGAATTGGAGAGTTCGATGGTACGGAGGAGAAACGGTGGCGGTTGTGGTGGAGAGTGGTGGTTGATAAAGAAGATAGTACGGAAGGCATGGTGTGAGGATGAAATCGTCCGTCTGCTCCCCACAAAAACAATATTTTCCACTTTTCGTTATTTACCGTTTTTGTTAATTTCCAGTAAATTACAAATCAGTCCTTCAACTATTTCTCACCGTCATAATTGATCCTTTAACTTTTACAATGCTCACAATTTCTACAAATTTTCCCTAGTTTAATCTCTGTGTCGATTCTCCTGAGTCCGATAACTTTAATCAAAAAGTAAAACTCGAAAACATAGACAACCTTTCATTGTTGGGATTTACAGTTGAATATTAAAGAGTCCATCCTCTCGGACTACTGAGTGGACATCTCAACCTGGGAGGGTGTGAGATCACGGCTAAGGAATCGGACGGTGTCACCATCATCCGACTCTACCTCAATCATATCTTCCTCAATATCCTTCGAAGTCCGCAGGGTAGATGGTTGTTTTTTTAATTTTCAATACTAAACCATTTGTTATGTTAATACGAGTCATGCCCTCGCATTTCTTTGATAACAACTAAATAGAAAATGTTTGTTATCTGGACCTAACATCAACACATGTGATGATCAACAGGTTTTACTTATGACATAGGAATTAAATATTGTTTTTTTGGATCAAATATCACTTTTGCATTTGATTTTGAATGTGAATATAAATTCAAGTGAAAGTTTCGGATATAATTAATATTTAGGTCATGTTTGATAATCATAAGTTATCTTATGAGCTAATTCATTTTCTTACTTTTTTAAAAAGAATCTGTTTAGATGATTATAAGCTAGTTTATTAAAACATTGGTTAGAATTACGTTTTAATAAGCTCCAAAGGTCAAAAGTGCCTGGAGACCCAGATTCGAATCCAAAGAGGAATAAAAATCTTCTTATGGTTACGGAGGTTCAAATGTAGTGACTTCGGGCTATCCGTGAAAGAGGTGGTCATTCTGGGATTAATCAGCTCAAATAACGGGTTGGATATCCAGATGAATAAAAAAAGATCATAAGCTTTATCATTATTATTTGTTATTAATTATTATAATACAAAGAATTTGGTTGGGTTTTTGGAACAATTAGAAAGTATGTGGTGGCCCATGTGGATAAACTTTCCATCTAGACATGGGCCTCCTTAAGCCCTATTATCAAGCCCATTAATTCAAGCAGGAAGTCCAGTCCAGGAGCAATAGACTTTGGCGCTTTTTTTATATTTAAAAGGATTATATTTAATTCCAACTGTTTATAATTTAAAAATTATATTTAATTCCAATGGTTTTATATTTTAAAATTTTTAATATAAATTATATTATTAAAATATTTAATACATATAATATCTTATAAAACTTTTAAATAAATTTCATATAAAATGATAATGTAATTTAACTTTATTGATTAAAATAAATGTTGAAAGCGAGTTTGATAAAGTCACGACAAGTTTGACTTTGACTTTGATGAACTTGTACACGATGTTGCAAGTGTACAGTTTTGACAGATCGAGAGTTTATGTATGTGGTTTATAAAAGGGCGTGACAACTGAGGCATTTCTCAAACAATCGAAGAGCATACATGATTAAAAAAGGGTTTTATATACCGTTGTGACATCATTTCCAGAACGGAGATATATGAAAAAAAGAGGTGCCTTCGGGAATGCGGACACAAGTGATGCATGACTGTCGTCAGCTCGTGCCGTAAGATAATGAGTTAAGTCCCACAACAAACGTAACCCTCGTGTTTAGTTTTCATCATTGAGTTTGGAATTGAACCATGTAGTATTGATGAATGATGAATGATGAATGATGAAACTTGGGAGCCGTTTACTAAGGTTTATTCGGTAAGTGCTTACCGGACAATTTTTTTCACCGGATGAATATAGCAAGGGCCAAGAATCTTATCTGGTAAGAACGATGATTATGATAGAGAGTCTTACCCGGTAAGTGAAGATGACGACTCTTACCCGGAGAAACGCTTATCGGATAAATTGTTGCATAGGATATTGTTTTGATTTACTACAGCCTTATCCGATAAAAATAAATTATAATATTGATTCTTACTGGTAATAACTTACCAAGTAAGCATTTAGGTAAACGATACTTTTGGTTGTCAAAAATTGATCAGATAAAGAACAAGTATAGAAAGTTATCAATACTTAACACTAAAATACTTGAATGGCAAAACAAGCCCCTAAACTATACATAATTTACAAGAACCACAAAAGGGAAATCTTGTAGCTTCAGAAATGATCCATACGGTGATCGATGTGATGCTAAGATGGGTACTGCTTCTCACATTGATTGAAGAAGGATATCAATGCATGTCGTGACGATGATTGCCCAAACTCGATCAATAGTCGCACAATTTACCAGATAATCATGAAACCAGTATATTTTAACGCTTCAGATGATGACATCATATTTTTTTTAACAGAATTGCACAATTAACAACTTACCGAAGCTCGAAAACTAAAGAAACCATATCTAAGATGACGAACTCGGTCATCTGTTTATTGACGTATCCCGAGTAATTCACTCGGTGATATCATTTACGTTATGAATTTACAAAAACTAGAGCCGAAGGGCGATCGGGTTTGTTTACAAGAATTAGCAATCTCCCATTTGTAATCCTAGATTCGATATTATATTTAGAATCGTCGAAAAATGTATATCTATCGATCTCAATACGGAAGAATCCCACTCCCTTGTTCTACACACATTCGAGAAATCGATTGCTTCACCTTCGACGATACACGTTGAAAACGCTTAACCGGTTCGTCTCTAAACGAGAAATAATACGAACAATCTCTTCCCACATTATTGTCTACATGGATATCGATCGTTACACAACTACTTTCCCCCATCGATAACGATCGTTTCAACTCCATTCCCGATAACCTCCCTTTCGTCTCCCTCGGCAAAACCAAAGAATTACAATGCCGAAGAACCATGCGCGGTCCGGATGCGGATTCATCCACAGATCCATCCGCATTCCTATCCCCATCCGAAACCTCGATCGTGGCATCGGTTTGATCATCACATTCTTGTTCCGGTCCAGAACCAACAGACCGATCGTCCGACGACGCTCCGACGGACGATCGGCAAATCGGACAATTCCGAACCTCGTCATCCGGTGCAACCACCGAGACTCGACAAACCGGACAACTCGTGTGAGCGACGAACCATTCATCGATACACGAAACATGAAACACATGCTTACAATTCGGCAACAACCGAACCTGATCCCGGTTTTCAACATCCCCTAAACAAACCGCACATTCGCATTGATCGGAGTTCGAATCAGTCTTGATGTACGTGATTATCGGGATATTCAAAAGGGTCTTTTCATCAACTCCGGTGGGTACTCCGGCACCGGCGAAAGCCTGCAACGACGCCATTCTTGCAGCATGCGTTCTCATACAGTATCGAACCACAAGAAGATGATACATAAGTATGGCTAAAGCAGTAGCACCGATACCCATAATGGAGATAAGTAAAGGAGTAAAGAAGGAATTTGTGGAAAGGGTTTGTGAGGTTGAAGATGATATCTCTTCCATCGCCATTAATGGATGTAACAATTAAGCTTAAGATCTATGGATGGATGGAAATGTGGTGGTTTAGTGGTTTGAAAATGGAGGTGTATGGCAATTGGGCCTATGAATTTAAGTATGGTAGAAGATGGGTAGTTTTGATGGGAAACAGGTGGCGATTTTGAAGGGGAAAAAGGGGTTGGTTGTATCATGTATGTTGTTGATGATGGTGAGGTTTGTGGTGAAGAAATAGCCAGGTGGCATGATTTCAAAGAGGGGTGGAGTGAGTTGGCCTATTATAAAGATAGAAATATTGATGCTTTCTACTTTCGATTATCGCTCACAGAAAAGATTGCCGCCGGTTATGTGTAACCGGGTAGTCTATGAACCCATGTCACATGATTTCAAGTATACGTGTTTATGTGTGGGGCGAACCGTTATACCCGGTCCATTCGATCTATTAGAAATACGAGTTTCAACAATCATTATCGAGAAATAGATGAATCCCGGTTTACTCGTTAAAATTAGGGATGGCCAAATCAGTCCGGTCCGGGTAAGGACCGGTTATGGGACCGAAAACCGGGACCAGTTGGGGTTTTTGGTAGTTTCGGGGGACCGGGACCGGTTATGGGATCGGCCCGGCCCGAATATTCAAATAATTTTATAAATAAATGTATTTTCAAATAATTTTATGATGTATTTTTATAAGACAATGTAATTTTAATTATATTAAAACGTATTTTTAAAGTGTATTTGAGTGACACAATTGTAAATTTTATAATGTATTAAAAATATATATCATTAAAAAACTTATTTTTTAATGCCGGGACTGGCGGCCCATAACCGGTTATGAAGTACCTTGACCAGTCCTATCATTTTCGACCGGGACCGGTTATGAGAAAGTTTGAGACCGATTAGGCATGGCCCGATCGGCCCGGTACCGGTTTTTGGCCATCACTAGTTAAATTTGACGGACGGACATACACAATGTAAAAATAAATATGGATAGGTCCGTCCAACCTGTTTATATTTTATAATTAATATTTTTTTACCATCAAATAAAATTATACTAGTATATTTTAAATTAAATTATTAAATATATAAGATGAAATTCTTTAGTTATTCTTGAGAACTCAAAGGGCTAAAGAGATGTTTGTTTATCTCTTAATGATCTCATAAGAGGTCCAACTCTTAATTTTATTTTTCATTTTTTTTTTCAACTTGTTGAGATCCATGTGTTATTTTAGTTTGCTTAAAATTTTAATTGCAAAACGATGTTTTTTCTTTATTTTTCGATTCCATGATTATTAATTAATTGTTAGTGATCAAGTTTATAGATTTATAAGAGTTATATTTTTTAAGTCTGTTAGCTCGTGGACAAGTCCGACCCGTTTATAGGACGGGGCAATGGCAAGTTGTCAAACCCGAAAAAAAAATGTTTGGGTTTATAATATTAGGCTCGTTGACAAAAAAAAGTTAGGCCCGACACGGATCCAACCCAGACCTACAAATGATCACCTTTAATTTCACGTGAGTTAATTAAATGATATTAAATGAGTTTTTAATTAAATTCATGATTTTATGATTATATAAGAAAAATAGGTTTATACTTATTAAAAGATTATGGATTTAATTAAAATCTCATTTAAGGTTATATACTTAAAATTTTCCTATAGTGATTTCTCGTCAAAGAATAAATGTATATAATAAAAATGATATACAATTTTATATTTTTATATATAAATACTATATTATAATATATTTAATAAAAACACTTAAAAATCATTTTTTATGCATTAAGTATTGGTTATTGATGCATATTAAAACATTTGACAAAAACTCTTAAAAACAATTTTTTATGCACGAAGTATTGGTTATTGATGCATATTAAAACATTTGACAAAAACTCTTAAAAACAATTTTTTATGCACGAAGTATTGGTTATTGATGCATATTACTTAAAATTCAAGATTACAAGTAAATTGTACATAAATACAACTTATTAAACCTCAATTTTTGAATTCGTGTAACTAACTGCATATAAGCATAATCATATAAGAATAAACATGTCATTTTAAATATAAAGAATCTAAAATATAACTAGGATAATTATTGAATTATAACAAAATATTTAGTTATCATCTTTATAAAAAATTATATTATTAAACCAAAAAGAAATTGTTTCGTTATAATAACGAAATTAAATTGTAACAAAAAATTTGAATCAATAAATTACACAAAAACGAAAACTTGTAAATAGTTAATTTGATACTAATACAAATATATTTTTTCAAAATTTTAATTATAGTATCTTAAAATTTATAATTTATTTAAAAATAAAAATATTATCATGTTCTCAAAACCACATAAAACTGTATTATATCGACAGAGACAAAGAATAAAATTAAACAATAAAAGCGAGATGTATCTTGCTGTATTGCGTGAGTACTCTTCTAGTATGTATATACATGTATGTGTGTGTGTATGTATGTATATGTATACATATACACACATGGATTTAATTTAAAATCTCATTTAAAGATCATATACCTAAAAATCTCTTGTGGTGATTTCTCGTCAAAGAATAAATGTATATAATAAAAATGATATGCAATTTTATATATAACATTTTCAATAGTTATATTAAAATAGAAAAAAAGTGTTTTTAACAACTTTTTTACTTTAACAACTATATTATCTTATATCCTGTAANATATATATATATATATATAACATTTTCAATAGTTATATTAAAATAGAAAAAAAGTGTTTTTAACAACTTTTTTACTTTAACAACTATATTATCTTATATCCTGTAAAAATCTGTAACTAGAGATAGAAATTATTATTTTAATATTTCCATCAATAAAAGGTTTTGAAAATAAATGTTTAGTAGAGAGAATACAATTTTATTAAATGTATTGAATATTTTAATAATATGATTAATGTTATAATTGCTAAAATAGAATATTTTTTGGAGTTTAATGCAATTTTTTAGAGATTTTGATCTTTAATACTCTATTTTAGAAGAAAAATAATATAGCATAGCTGTTGGAGACGCTCTAATGTTCTTTTTTTTTCTTCCTATTTTGTTAAATCTTTATTTTAACATAGCTGTTAGAGATGCTATATTATACTTTTTAAGTAACTAGATTTTGGTGACACTTTACCCTTTGATAACAAAGAGAGATTTTTTCATCTCATAATTAAGGTAGAATGAGAAAATAAAAACTTGCGGTTAAAAATGAATACTTATTCTGAGACAAATAAAAATAGAAATGTGAACATTAAATTTGGGACGGAAAAAGTAGTTTTACACTTCATCCGTCCCAAAATAAATATTCACAATAAAAAGGCATACAGTTTTAAAAAGATGTAATCTTTACAATTTTAATTTATTTTAACTAATTATGAAATGAACTTTATTCGAAAATTCAACTAACTTTTTTAAAAATTGGTATTTTCCATAAATGATAATTTTCAACAATTTTTTTTTTTAAATTTTATTGAAAATATATAAAGATTAAAAAGATAAAATTACAATCAATGCCTAATTTGAAGAATGACTCGAGTGATAAAATAAATGAAAAAAAAATCCATAAAAGTCTAAACAACTTTTTACATTATGATTTGATTATGTTTTTAATAATGAAAAAGTTAAATGTAACACTTTATTCCATACTTGAATTTAATCAACATATTTCATATAATATTAAATATAATAATTACACACTCGTCACATACATCCAAATTACTACATATAAAAGCAGCTACAATTTTTTCATTTACACCAAGTAAATGACTTGCAGATATAATAAGTTTTTAAGTACATGCATAATAACAGCTTCCCAAAATTTTACAGATGTAAAGTAATCATAATTTCTTTCACATATTCCTCTTTCCCTTACTCTTCATACGTGTCTGACATGTGATGCACATTTTTAAACACAAAATGAGAGTTAGATTTAGAGATCAATCGCAAAGAAAACCGTTTTTGACATGTAACTCAGTTGGTAAAAAAGTGAGACGAGTTTACTCAAATACAAGCCAAGTGTTGGGTTCGATCCCAACCCCCCTCGTTAGCCTCAACTACTGAGTGAGTCAAAAAAATGTCTTTTACATTGATATCCTTAAAGACATGTTTCATATGAATTTTTTTTGAGGTCGTCGATAATCCAATTTTTGCATGATCTGCAAAGAAACTAATTATAAAACATAAACGTAGATCTTCTAATCAACGACAATCTCAGTCAAACTTTTACCCGATTAGTTAATCATCAATTCTTAAAATCACAATGAACACCTGATAACTAATGCTTTTAGCAAGGAGTTGTTATAAAAAAATATTTTTATAAGAATATCTCTAGCAGTTTTTTCGTAATTATTTTAAAATAATAAAGAAAAAGTCATAATTTTTAAAAAATATATATAACTTTAACAGTTTCTCGTTTCACAAATTCCAACATTAATTTTATTATTAAAATATTTATCTTTTTATCTTCAAAAAACTTTTTGTATTTAATAGACAGTTAGATAAAAGAAAATACTTTATCTCGCTCTCTCTTGAAAGAGAAGAAAATAAATAAATTTTTATGTTTTTAAGCGACAGAAAAATGAACGAAAATATATCATTTTGCAAAAGGCAAATTGCATGAAAAAGTAACGTACTTTAATTTGATTCTTATTTTGGGTAACGTACTTTCAAAACTTTCATTTTGGTACCTAAGATGTAAAATTTTAAACATTTAAGTACCCGGGTAACTGGTTGAAGTATTAACCGATTATCATGCTGATGTGACGAGTGATGTGGTATTCAACTTGGTATTATTTGCTGACGTGGTCAGTGACGTGAATTTTTTAAATATAAAATTAGTCTTTTTTTAATATAATTTTAGTCTTCAAGTAGTTACCCGGGTACTTAAATGTTAAAATTTTACATCTTTAGGTATCAAAATAGAAGTTTTGAAAGTACGTTACCCAAAATATAAATCAAGTTAAAGTACGTTATTTTTCATGTAATTTGCCCTTTTACAAATGAGCTAAATAAAGTAGCAACATACTTTCATAAATTTTCTTATTATAACATTCTACTTTTATTTTTCTACAACAATGTACTTTTAAATTATTTTTTATTAAAACATTACACTTTAAAAAATCTACCAATTATAGCAATTAGTAACATGTTACATTTTAAACCGGTTAACCCATTGACTTTTTTTTTGCTTGTGTGGCTTTAATAAAGTGATGTGGATGACACATCAATTTGATGACTTAATAAAAATAAAAATAAAAACATATTTCAAATAATTATTAGTGATTTTTATTTTTTATTACTATGATTTAAAAAGCCATTTAATTTTTTTTATTAAGTTGCAAACAAATTAAATATTTTAGAATAAAATATTTTTAATTAAATATGCTATATTATTTTCGAAATACATTTTATTTGTAAAAAAATAACACTTTTTATTTTATATTGTTCAAAAAACTTTTTAAAAAATAATATTTTTTTGATAAAAAAGAACGATTATTATTTTCTTAAAAAAAAAAACACATATTTTTGTAAAAATTATTAGCGAGATAAGTCATCTTATACTAATTTTTTTAATATTGGTATATTAATGAACAATTTAGAATTTTCTTAATTCATTTAACATATTTATTAAATAAAATGTAAAATATATAAATATTAAAATTAATAGTATATTGTTTAATAAGAACTAGTAGATGTTATAATAAAATATTTTTGAAAGTACAATGTTGTAATAAGAAAATCACATCACTATAATACATGTGAACTACCTGCGTGGACAATGAGGTGACATAGAAACCTGATATATAATGGGTAAATTTAAATTAATAGGTTACCTAATGCTATAATGAGTAAATTTTTCAAAGTACAATGTTCTAATAAAAAATAGTTTAAAAGTTTATTGCTGCAATAAGAAAACTAGAAGTATAATGCTATAATAAAGAAATTTATGAAAATAGATTGTTATTTTGTATATTTTGTTCTTTTACAAATATACCTTTATTTATTTTATAGTGAAATGTATTAATGAGTAGATGAGTAATTTTATAATTTTTTTTAATTATTATAATTTTTTTTCTTTTATTTCCTTCTCTTTCCTTCTACATTTAGGAATAAACTTTTGGGAGGAAAGTCAACATGATTTTCTTTCTTTTTCCGGTTTCCCTTCCATAAAAACTCGAGAACACAAGATTTTTTTTCTTTACTCTGCTATTTTTCTTCCCTCCCCCTTTTTTAAGAAATAGAGTTGAAATTTACCGTTAAACGCTCATCGAGTAAGTGTTTAGATAAACGGTTCCTTAATTAGACTTGTTTGAGTAACTTTGATTTTTTAAGCATAAATTATGTTCCTTACGTCTCAAAATAAATGTTGACAAGAAAAACGACACGAGTTTTTAAATACATAATTGTTATATTTTTTTAAATAACTAAATGAAACTATGTTGTAAATAGGCATACAACAAAATTTCCAATGGCGTGGTTATTCGTTTCCAAAAAGGTGTAGGGGTCAAAATGAAAATGATAATAGTATAAGGACCGAAAATGCCATTTTATCATAAAATAAGGGGCTACAATTATTTTGTTAATAATAGAGAAGGGTGCTTCCTTTTGTCCATTATCTATTACAGGATTATTTTGTTGATGACTTCTAGGTTACAAGTTGTTTATAGTCTCCCTCTCTCTCTCTCTCTCTTCTCTCTCTCTAAACTTTCCATCTTTCTCTCTCTAACAAAATTTCTGAACAATCTTCCTTTTTTCTGATCGGTGCACGTACGAGCTTCAACAATCCATAACGATTCCTCGATTTCCCAATGGTAATGTGTATATATCACTAACTGATTATGTGTATGTGTGTGTTTTGCGATGATGAATCTGTGGTTTAATCGATCGGCGGATCAATGCGCAGCAGCAACTGGTGCAGCCATGGCTGGAGAAGCTGCTATCGACGGAATTCTTCTCGGTGTGCCGGACGCACGGAGACGCCGCTAGAAGTGAGCGCAATATGTTCTGTTTAGATTGCAATGACGAAGCATTCTGCTTCTACTGTCGATCTTCTCGTCACAAAGAGCATAAAGTCATTCAGGTCGGTGTGTGTTCCCTGCGTTAATTTCTCATTGTTTGCTCTCTTTTTTCACGCATTCATAAACTGAAAATCTCAGGCGTTCGATGATTTTACTTGCAATGTAGCATAACAATGTTATCGATCTCCATGACTATAATTTCTCGCATTTCTCGAATTAGTCAATTCGTAGTTATATGATAACGAGGTGTGTGTTTGTTTATTTTGAGAAATCAATCTGGAAATTGAGTTATTTTCTCCCAAAATTGAACGAATGCACAGATAAGAAGATCGTCGTATCATGATGTTGTGAGAGTTTCAGAGATCGAAAAGGTGTTGGATATCGGTGGTGTTCAAACATATGTGATAAACAGTGCGAAAGTCTTATTTCTAAACGAGAGGCCGCAACCGAAATCAGGGAAAGGGGTTTCTCGCATTTGCGAAACTTGTGGGAGGAACCTCTTGGATACTTTTCGTTTCTGTTCACTCGGCTGTAAGGTTAGCCTAATCTCCAACTCTCAATTACTTAATTATTATTAATTAATTTTATCAATAGTTAATTGTCTTTGCTTCACATTGTTAGACATCACAACTCACAATATGAATTGGCATTCACTCATTATGCTCATCACTTTATCATACATATTTATATGTACATATCATAAGCCAATCCATCATCCACCAATGATACATAATTTTATATATATAATCATACATGCATTGTTTATTACTCTTTTTATCCTTAACAAAAAAAATAAGAGGTGTATAAAATTTATTTAAAAAATACAATGTTTTCTTTTATGATAAGTTTTTAATGCAGATTTATTTATTTTTTGTCATTAATTAATAATAAATGTTTGACATTACTAACTTTGATTTTCACCCACGAAAGTATCTTTTACTCTGGCACGTGTAATTGAATGAGTATTTCTTGAAGACGACGATGAATAAATATATTACATTATGTCAATATTTAGTCTTTTATCATCTATTATAGTAATTTCTTAATCACCTTTTAGGAATTTTTTTAAGGATCTGTTTAACAAATATTTACCCGGTAAGTGTTTATCGGTAAAATTTAACCTTATCATTGACTTACCAGGTAAGATTTTAGTCCACAAAAACGGTATCGTATGCAACAATTTACCGGTAAACGCTTAACGTGGTAAGAGTCGTCGCCCTCACTTACCGGGTAAGACTCTTGGTCCTTGTGTTACTCTTACCGGATAAGATTTTTGGTTCTTTCCATATTCATCTGGTAAGGTAATGTGACTTGGTGTTCACTTACCCGAATAAGCATTTGGTAAACGGCCCCTAAATAATACATAAGATTTCTTAATAAAAAATTATAATGATTCTAAATATGAATAAGAATTTTAAAAGGAAATTGCTATAATATCACATCAACATTTTTTTGTCGATGTAACAGTGAATAATATATAAGAAATTGTATGTTGTAATTTCTTAACATGAATTCTATTCGGTATTTAATACCCCTTTTTATAAGGAGGTATGTATGTGAGTAAGGGAGGGTTTAAATAGAATCCATTTTTAATAAGAAATTGTTTTATATCACATTATATTTTTTTGATGTTTTTAAAAGTTTATAAAAATTGTATGAATAATTTTTTTCAGATAAGATTTTAGTTATAAAAAATAAATAAATAATCTAATCATTAATTGTAAAGGATTTAACATTAATATATTGACAAATATTAAAAAATGTAAAATATAATAAAAATATATTACATAATAAAAATACAAGTTTTAACACATATATAATTACATCATTATTGATTTAATTTTTTAATGCATACTTGAAAACACATGTCAAATAATTAAAATATTTTATAAACTAAAATAAAATATTTAATTTAATTTATTTATTTTATAACAATTATTTAACTAATAAATTATTTGATATTAAGTTAATTAAAATAAAATTTTATATGATAAGGTGCATCTAAAAATTTGGTTACAAATATATATATATATATATAATAATAAAAAATAATTTGTAGATGATTTTTAAAGATAGAATTTAACGGTTAAGAAATTGTGGTGCGGTGGATGGTAATAATTAGTTCACCCGTATGGATACAAAATCTCAACAAATATTGGTTGATCTAAAAACCACATCTGAATAATTGAATTAATAGGTGTTTCTCCCAACTTTATGGCAATCAGCATAGTGATGGATAATGATTCGACATCATACCCTTTTGGTTTCACTTTGACTTAATAATGCATAACTAGTACTTTTTATTCACGACTTTTTTTTTTTTTTTGCCTTTTTTACTTCAAATGTAAAAGTTTTTTCTTTTTCATTCAAAGTTACTATTGATATTTTTACTTCGGTTGTAAAAGTTTATTTCAATATAGAGTTATTATAAAAAAAATAAACTAATCAATGGTTATTTAGAAGCAGATAACATATTCTAATTTTCATTTTGATAGTAAAATTTAACTGATATTAAGATGGGGGTATTTATTTATGTTTTAAATTATTTATATATATAGCTTGTTGGGATAAAGAGAAATGGAAATGCAAGCTTTATGTTAGAAGGGGTATCATCAACAACAAGAGGAGTAATGTCATCATCCACAACAAGAACAAGAAGAAGAGGGATGATGATGGATGAAGAAGAACAACACATTTACCCTGCCACACCTCCTTCTTCCACTAGGAGAAGAAAAGGGGTTCCTCATAGGGCTCCTAATTAAGAGAAGCATAAGCATAACATATAACCAACTAAATTACTCAAATACCCCTCAAAAGCAAAAAAAAAGAAGCAAATTAAATACCCTACTCATCGCCATTGACAATCTCATTCACCATCTCCTTTCTACCCCACCATTTATTCTTATTCTCAACTTATTGTATTATTTGATTTGGGGAGAAAGGTGAAATATGGTAAAACTATGAAATAATCAAACCAAGTGCTTTCATTTTGATTCTTTGTGTATTTGGTTTTTAGTATAAAATAGAATCTGTTTCTAAACATTAAGTATTCTTTTTTATTATTACTGAAGTTTCTTCCGAATTGGATCCTTTTATTTAACATTATCATGTGATGTTTAAATATGAGCATGTTGAAGACCGATCCAGGTTTGTTCGAAAAAGCCCAAACCTAGTAGTCCCGTGAAGCTCGGTCTAGGCCAGCTAAATTTTTTTTGGTAGCCTAATCTAGAAAAGTTTTAAAAAGTGTAGTTAAGCCGATTAAGCTTGAATTGGAAAGGTCTGATCGAGCATTTTTTTTCAACCCCAAAAGCTAGCTCGGGTCTTATTTTTTGTTTGCTAAAAACATTCTTGGAAGCCCAGTTCCAACCTGTAAAGACCTAAGCCTTGTGCATCTCTATCTTTGAGAGAGGAAGAGCGAGTCTTTAACTAAAAGTGTCATTTAAATAGTTGAGATTTATTCGGGTGCAACTAAAAATCAATGAGTTTGATTTTTTTACATTCATGATTGTTTAATGAATTAATGTTCAAATGAAAACTATAATTATTATAGTAATTTAGAACCAACTATTTCATGTATGTATTATACATGATGAATATCATGTATTCTTATTAATAATGATATCATCCATTTTCGTCATGAAAATCATGTAATTTTATTATGAATAAATTTCGGGATTAATATTTGTCCCGACATCATCATGAATACACACATGAATAGTTGCTCCGAGGTTATCATTAATGGTTTTCATTTGAACATTCCCTATATATCCATTTTAATAAGATAAAATGACATGACAAGATATATGACGATACACAAGGAGTTATGGCATGGACGGACCCATAGAAAGGCATACGGTGGTACACGCCACCATATTATCTCTCTACTGAAAAGTTAAAATTTTTACGTTTATGAAAGATGCAACCGTATCTTTTTCTCAATTATCAAATACAAATTGTTATAAATTTGTAATAGAAAAAAAAAACCAATAAGAAATATATTTTATTTGCCTTTTTACAATTTAACAATACACAAATCACTTAATAAAAAAGAAAAATATTAAATAAAATTGTAATTTGGTGTTGCCTCCCTTAAATTGAGTTGTAAATAGCAATTAATAATATCTTTAGATTCTGTCGTATGAGTTGTAAATAGCAATTAAGAATATCTTCAGATTCTTTATAACAGATATTTTACTGTAATAGATTCTTTATATTGTTATTTAAAATTGAGAATAAAAAAAACTTAAAGTTCATATGCTTCTCTAAATTTAAGATAAGGAGAAAAAAATGATTTTTTATTTAATTCTTATAAGATTAAATTATTATTATTTCATATAAAGTTTTTCAAAAAAAAAAAAGTCAAATGGACTTTGACTTAGTGATACGTGAGTCTTTAGCCTCATAACAAGTCAGAGGATCAAACCTCATTAAAGGTGAGGAGGGTGTGTGGATTTATTTATTCTATTTACTGTGTATATAAACATTATATACTTAAAAAAAAGGTTTTCGAAAAAATTGATAAAAATGCATAATCCTTTAAATATATGATTATTGACTAAATCTTTAAAATAAAGACAAAACTAAATGTAAAATTTTCTACATTTTTTAAAAAAATATAAAAAAATATGTGAAAAAAATAAAAGGAAAGTGTATGAGAGAGTCCATGTTCCATTAGCCCACCAACCCACATGGGCCTTTTACATCCATAAAGAAAGAAACACCTTTTCTTATTAAATTTAATTAAACATAAATAAAGAAAAAGTAGGCACTTTCTATGATGGCTACCAACCTACTTCCCTTCCGATTGCCTTCACCTTCTTGTCGCATTTCCTTCCCTTTTCTTCTTCAATGTTTAACCAAATTCATATCTAATTAAATATAACTTCAAAAACATGTCTCATTCTTTATTTTTTGTTTTTATTCTTAAAATATAATATTTATACACGACAAATAGAACAAAATAATTCGCACACCATCCTCATCTTTGGTGAGGTTTAAACCCCTAATCTGCTAAGATGTCAAAGACTCACATACCGCTAGGACAAAAACCTTTTGGTATTTGCTTACGCCTTCATTCTTTACTTTTATAAATCTTTAAATGAATTCTAATCCGACTTTAATATATATATATATATATATGTGTGTGTGTGTGTGTGTGTTTTTTTTTTTTTTTGGTACGGGAATAAGAATCATAATAATCATATAAATAAATCTTTAATTTGGTAGCCTTTTACATGTTGGGTTGTAAAAAGTGGAGAAAATATTTAATGGAAGTATTGTCCAAAAGTGTATGATTCTTTGTATGTAAAAGCACAAATACATTAGCTTTTACGTATAAACATGATTTGTAGTGTACATAAATGTGTTTGTGATGATGATATTAAAGACAAAATTATATTTGCTACAAATGAACATGGAGGAGGAACAATGGTTCCTATGTCTTTATGTGATATGTTAATACAGAAAAGGAAAGGATTTTCATTCAAATTTTGGGAAAAAGTTGATTGTAAGTAATTCTAACCGGCCTTATACGTAACCACTTCCAAAAACACTTTTTGTTTTGCTTACTCAACGGTTGAGGCTAGCGAGACGAGGGGGGCTGGGATTGTACCCAAGGGCAAGGGTCAGGATCTGTCTTGTATTTGGATGAAATTACTCTACCCTTTTCGCCAACTGAGTTATAAGCGAGAAGCTCGTTTGAGAATTGGTTGTTTTCTTTAGTTTAAAGAGGAACTTTCTTTTCGTTAAAATCAAGTTATCTTGAGTTACGAAAGTCCTTTAAGATTTTGAGTTAAAAACAATCTTTTGATAGATGATTATTAACATTGTTCAAAATTATAGCATATATATTTTTGGTCATTTATATTTTATGTTGAAGTTGTTGCTTTTAATTTTCAATAAATTAACTTTCAAGTCATTTACCATATCGAGTAATAAGATTCTTGGTCATTAGTATGCTTCTTACCGAGTAAGATTCTTAATCTTTAAGTGATAAGATAATTGACCAAGTGAACTCTTATCCGTTGATTTGAGATCATGTGAGACTAACATGTTTTCATGAGACCATAAAAATAACATTGGACCTTCATAGCAAAGCATAGGTAAACCTTCATGGTGTTTTTGCTATGAAGGTTCAGTGTCACGGATATCACAAAAATAAGTTGGTCTGACATGAACTCAACCACTAACTCATAAGTATTTGATATATATGCCGTAGACTTGGGATCATGTGAGACTAATGGTTTTCTGTGAGACTCGTAAGACCAATTCTCAACCCTTGGATTAGATTTACAATCGTCAGATCTGAACATTTATAAACGCCACGAGACTTCTTACTAATTACGAAATTGCCACCTTGCAACTTTGCAACCATTAGATCATTAATTCATAAATTTGATCAATGAACATAAATTGGTCTTACGGGTCTCACGAAAAATCCTTGGTCTCACGTGAACTCAACCCATATGCCGTAAGTTTAAGTTTAAAATGATTGATATAGGTGTTCAGAAAGCCCAGAAACCAACTTAAATACACTTCAGCAAATCCCAAAAGGCCCAAAAGGCCCAAAAGTTGAGTTAATAGTCAGAAAAATCTGCAACGTCTCTAAAAGAACTCAATTTAAGTAGTTCTTGAAGAACCAGTTTAGTCCACCGCTTCCTTTTGTATTTTATCATCGAGGAACAACAGTATAAGACAAGGCGACATCAAAATTCTAAACCCTAACCCGAAACCCAATTTGTTACATAATAAACGAGATGTACGCAATCTGAAGTGGACCAACACTAGTGTCGAGTCTAACAGAGACCAACGAAACCAAACGGACCAGTAAATCTAGGGGGTTGAGATGTATGCAAACGACAAACCCATTATGAAGACCTCCTGCCTTGTGCAAAAGCATGAGAAACAACAGATTGTACTAAAACACAATTGCTGAACTAGTGATTCTCATAAAGCATGAATACAAGTGTAAGTAACACCAGAAAGACCTGATCAAACTGGAGGTTCCAAAAGGGTCTTTACATAGATGCCAATCTCGCACATTTAAGATACGTAAACAACAATCTCAATCTAGTCGTACACAAAACTGATCCGATAAACAGCAGTTTAGGCAAAATATATTAAATCTTTACATCAAACCAGCTTTCTTCAATGCATCCTCAAACTGTTCATCACTATCCCAGGAGGGCACCTACAAGATGCACACAAATATTTAGCATAACAAATGTACCGAATAACAAGTTTATAATGATAAACTTTAACATCCATAAATATCTAAAAGCCTCGTAAAAAACCAGCAAAGAAATGTTTACCTCGGTAACATAATGGTTAAAGTGCCTCTCGATTTTTTCCATGATCATGGCGTCTCTATTATCACACAGCAAGTTGAATACAGCTCCTGTAACATTATAAAGCGTTTGTAAGGATATCAGCTACTAAACTCATCCTCTCTACAATCACAACTTGCCATAGGATTAGTCTGGGAGAAGCCTGACTAACCGTACCAGATATCATCCACTTTGTCCACACACCTAACGGTTTTAAAATGCTTTTGGTAGAGGAGGTGTCAAGTTCCTTATAAGGCAACCTTTGTTCCCCTCCCCAACCGATGTGGGATCTTACATGGGATCACTCATTTTCAAAAAGAAAGCTACACTTTCCTTTTTTCTAGGGACAAAGAGAGTGAGAAATAAGAGCATGGCTATTCATAGTAAGATTGTAAGATCAAAATCCACAGAGATTTTGGTATTCTAGTTTCTCATAGCCCTCTCTGGTTATAAATGCAGCACACTCTTCGCTTTGATAATAAATAAAGTATAAAGATCATGTAAAATGGTCCATGAAACCCGAAAATTAAAGCATGGCAACCCATAAGCGATAATAACAGTGTACCTCTATGAACGAAAATTTTACAAACTCTGAAGGAGGATGTATTGATTCACACCCTTTAGTAAAGTTACAATAATAACTTGGACAGGACTTAGCTGGATTCGATGCAGCTCCATTTATTTAGTCTTATATGGTGTGAAAACTGAAGATGTGATTGTGGGTTTCACTTCTATGAGAAGAATTCAGATGGACCAGCAAGTTTTTTTTATGGAAAATGTGGGTAAATTGAGAAAACTTTTCAACCCTCACTTGTTTAGTTACTTGTCTATTCTATTTAACACACACACTGTTCAACTCAAACCACATGGTGTCGGCATTCCACCAATTACCAAAGGATGAGAAGGTTATTGATAATTTCAGGAAGGAGAAAACCATCGATAAAAAGCCTTACCCTTGCGGCCAAACCGTCCTGCTCTACCTATCCGGTGCAAGTATACTTCATAGTCAGGCTCTGACGGAAAATCATGTCTTATTGGCAGATCAAAATTAACTACCAAATTAACCTGGTGAGAAGGGGAAAACATAATTAGATAAAAACCAAACACAAAACTAAGAGGAAAGCAGAAGGATACAAACCTGTGATTGATCAAACCCCCGAGCAAGAACATCGGTTGATATTAAAACTTGAGTCATCCCATCTTTGAACTCCTTCACTATCTTATCTCTATCTTCTTGATTAAGAGCACCTTGAATTGTTGTTACCTCATAGCCATACTTACTAAGTTCCTCATGCAACATACCAGCACTTCTTCTTGTCCGAACAAATATAATCGTCTGCCCAACCTTTTGTCCTAATTCCATTATTTTGTCCTTAATAACCATAATCTTTGAAGGCTCGTTAGGTACTTTGACTTTATACTGCTTGACGGAATCCAAAGACAGTTCTTCCTTCTTTACGAACAATTGATTGTATTCTTGTACAAAAAGATCTTTCACAATTTTCGATACAAAAGCCTTCACAGTGTCATTAAAGGTAGCAGAAAATAGTAGCACCTGTGCATTTTTTTGTATAGGTCAGAGATAAAAACAATGCATTCTACATTCAAAATAGTGCTCATAGTCAAAAATCAAATTTGCATCAAAGAACAAAATCAGACTTTCTATTACACTTTCAAGCAGATAAGATAAAAAATCACACAATCAAAAATAAATAGTATAATTCAATCAAAATAATCACTAATCATCATCATATAAACCTGGCATCTGGAACTGCTTTTGACGATGTCCCTCATTATCCTCAAGGAATCTTCTTTAAAACCGCCCTAAACCAAAATAAACTAGATGAGTAATCACCAACTATAACAAAGCCCAAAAGCCAATTAAATAAAAAGGCTGAGCTCAATCAACAGCAAGTTTCAATAAAAAGATCACTTCACATCTGAATGAAATGCAAGTTTTACATTGATGAAGTAATAGAAAGATTGCACAAACTGTTGTCAGATATTTCATTGCAAACTAAATAACTGTACAGAAGAGTCCTTAGCTGTCAAGATTTGTAGAAGTTTAGAAACCCTGTATATAAGGCATGTGGTTCACACATTTTGGTATACATATCATACAAAGAGCAGTGAATAAGAAGATTAGCAGGTAAAGGCAAGTACAGTTCAATACCCTAAGCAAGCAAATGAAATAAGCTACACAATCAAATTGCAAGGTCCTCCTTCAAGACACTAGCATGTAACTTCAAAATTTTGCAAAATATGCTTCCCCAAAAAAAATATTGCAATATGATTTATGCCAATTGGCAACCTGATCTCATATTTAACATCCCCAAATATTTATATCTCTGTTATGCCAGTCTTAAGCATAAAAACAGTTGCAAGATCCATGATGAATGCAGCACCAATGTTCCATTTGGATCCCAATATGCATCCAGGACTCTTATATTACATGATCTGTGCCAACCAACGTCCCTTGAGAATTCTATTCCATCAATAATCCAGTTGCAATCTCAAAGACAACAGGATTTTGCAAATGAGACGGAATGGATAAATCAAAGATTTGGTTATCAACTAATATTTAGATAAATTAAGAACAAAAAGGATAATAGTGCAGAAACTAATAATGTATCCAATTAAAACACCTTCAGGCTTGACACTTTTGCACTTTAGAAGTTGATTCTTGTCATATAGTGGTAATTAGTAATGTGCATCATTACTATAATCTAAACCAGCATCTAAGACCTCTAAAGAACAAGTGAAAATTCTACTAAATTTTGGAAAAGAACAGAGGGAATACTAATTTAGAATTTAGACAAAAAAGAGCACCATTTAGAAGATGCTGAACAAACAAGTTCCTAATTCGTATATTTATCTCAAGAACTGTCAGGCTCATTCTATAATAAAAAGACCACTGCAACAGAAAATGATAAAAAGCAAAAGGCAGACTCAAGGGGACATACAAACAATTTTCAGAAGCAAGTAATGCAATATAGCAACAGCTAGCATAATCTCATTCACAATAATGCAATATAGCAACAGCTAGCATAATCTCATTCACAATAAATACGCAGCAGTGATAAGATAGTTGTTGCCACCTGATAGCCAAGTAGCCTAAAAGGCACAACAGGGCACAGGCTAATCTAAGACGAATAGCAAGATTCAGAGTCTGGCTAAAATCAATGTTGCCATATTCCTCCACATATATATATATATTTTTTTTCGAACCCTTTTATGTGTGCTTATGCAAACCAACTTGTCATAATGAACAAATCCAAATCACTAGGAAAAAGTACAGCACAAACACATACTTCCAATCAAATTCAAGCATGAAGGGGGGAAATGTGGATAATGTATCTAGATATATCTTCCACAATTACTCGATGCATCTTCTTTGAATTAGGAATTGCGGAAGGATTTGTGTATGGTGGAAGAAGAGAGGTAAAAAAATGTACAACAAAAGAGAGAGACTAGTAAAGGATAGGAGACAGAATGTTGACGCTTAAATAAAACTGAAAAAGTACATAACTTTTTAGCACCAAAATAAGTTCTTTCTTTTGAGGGGGGGGGGGATTTGTTGGTTTTCTATGTCGCCCACATATTCTAAACTTCAATGCAACCTAACCTAAACTTAATAAGATGTTAATCTGTAATAAATAATAATAAATTCACAGCTTGTCAACTCCTTTTAAGAAAACTTATGACCTATTTGACAGAATCCACAGAACTATAAGCATGTAAATACAGAGCCAATTGTTTTCTTTTATAAAAACAAAGATTTCATATTCCTTAATTATAAACTCTGTAATTATAACTTATACTTTTGAATTGATTGCCAACCAATTATCTCTACACAAATAGATATATGAAGATTCACTTGACTGATTATATTGTATACATATTTTACTAGTGGTCATTGGTACCCAACTTTTCCTTCAAGATTATGTGTCCATGTAATGTATCTAAAGTATTCCAATAATCACATATGGTGTACGAAAATAATGTACCTAACAAGACCACCAATCAAGAACCACATACCACCAACTATATGTGCTATGCACCCATACCCATACAAGCACCATTGTGTACCCCAAATTGGCTAAAATGAGAAGATTCCACACATAAAAATGAATAAGCAGAAGGGGTATGTTTATCAATTTTTTGGAACACATGATTAGTAATTATGTATGAACGTTTTCTTGAAGACGCAGTTAAGAAATCCGTATTGTACTATAATAGAAAGGAACAAAACGAAAACAAATATCCACAAGATCACCTCTGCCAGCATATGGTCCGCCTCATCAAACACAAGAATCTTCAAATTAGATGTAGCCAGCCTCTTGATTGCAATCCATTTATTAATTGTACCAGGTGTGCCAATAATTACTTGCGCTGTCACTGGTGTCTTGTAGGTCGATCTATAATTAGCTTTATCTGCAGGAAGACCTAATTCCGATGTTATCCCAGTAAACTTTCCCATCTTCAATAGCACTTCCATATTCTGCACAATCATTAAGATAATATGAGATAATATTGTATCAACTTGAGCAAGGATTGACGATTACAAAGATATAGGAGGTCCTGCAGAGACCCTCAAATATAGGCAGGAAACTGTTGAAAAGTAGCAATGAAACTTGTATCATATTTGACGTTCTTCTTTGATTTAGCATATCTATCTAGTAACACTATGTAAACTTCTTCATACCATTTATCTTTTAGTCGTCTAGTCCAATGCAATCATAAGAAATTTTAAATCCATCTTAATTGCACCAAAAAGTAAAACCTGAATCCATCCCCTAAGTCAGCTATTCTAAGCTGCAGCCCTATGTTACTTCCTATAAAATAAATAACCTTCATATAATTGGTATAACAGGACCTAACAAAAACTTGAAGTTGAATTACCTGGATTGCCAATTCTCTGGTTGGGCATATACAAAGTGCTTGAGGATAAGGTAGCTTCGGATCAACGCGACTCAACATACCCAGAACGAAACAAGTTGTCTTGCCAGAACCATTGTGCGCCTGAGCAATCAAATTCTTGAAAGGTGGAGTTAGTATCATTGGCAAACTTATTGATTGAATCTTACTCGGCCTCTCAAACTTCATCTCGACGTATAATCCTTTCAATAACTCCGGAGAAATATTCAATTCCTCAAATCTCATAGCAGAAGTATACGGTGTCTCTCCGGCGGTAACCTAAAATCAATTAAAAAACCCTAGCTCAATAAAATATATTCAAAATTCAAAAACTATACAAATGAGGGAGTGTGTTTCTTTTACAGCTTGAATGTTGGAATCTTCAGGATCATCGAGGAAATTGTTAACTTTTTTAGACTCATCGATTGAGAGAGAGCCCAGTTCAGCGGTAGCGGTGTCCGAGGAAGTGGACGGTGCTTCAGGCTCCTCCGGGACGTCGTCGGGCTCGTCAGCCCATCTTCGAACTTCAGGGGATTTGGGGATCGGAGAGGCTGCTGCGGTAGCGGTAGCGGTGGAGGTGGAATCGTTGTCGGCCATGGTGGAGTTGAGTTGACTGTGATCGGAGATGTGCGGAGCCGATTCGAGATGTAACGGAGGTTAAATTATCTAAAAGCTTACAAGGGTTATATACAGGGAAGTTTAAAGGGCTAACAGGTCATTTAAAAATATAAAATATCAAAATCAATCAAATAATATTAGTTGTTTATCCATGCAATACCACAACAACCATTAATTTTAACGATTTTGAAGTTTCACGGGTTTTATTAGAGAAGATTTAACGATGATATAAGTTATACTTGCTATTTACATATTAATACAATTTGAATAAATAAGAGTTATGGTTTCATTTACATTGATGAAAAAAATTGTATGACAGTTTAAAATTCAACTTATTTAAACAACTCCACAAATGTATTCAATTTACATGAAGAACAAAGAATCAAAAGATCGAAAGCGAGACCGAGAGTTTTAGAGCAATTGAATGTGAGATGAATAAGAAAACTTTAATAATTCATGATGAATATCAGTTTGAATCAATAAATTTATATTTTATTCAAAAAATTAAAAACATTATCGTTTTTTCATACCATATAAGATCGTATTATAACATCGACGGAGACATAATAAAACGAACATTAAAATCGAGATGTATCTCGCTCTATTGCACGAGTACCATTCTAATTATATTATAATTTTTTATGCATGAAGTACTGTTTATTGATGCATGTTACTTAAAATTCAATATTACAAGTAAATTATACATAAATACAACTTATTAAACATTAAGACTTTTTGTAAAATGTTTTATAATACTAGAAGTGTACCTGTGCAATGCAGCGAGATAAATCTCGATATTAATGTTTAGTTTTTATTCTTTGTCTCTATCGATATAATAAGATTTTATGTGGTTTTGATGTATTTATTTTTGAATGAAATATAAATTTGAAGATAGAATAAAAAATTATAAAAAAATTAATCGATATTAGTATCAAATTAACTATTTAATAATTCTCGTTTTTTGTGTAACTTCTTTAATTTTTCATTATAATTTAATTACAAAGTAATTTATTTTTGGTGTAATAATATAATTTTTTATAAAGATAATAATTAAACATTTTGTTAGAACTCAATAATTATCTTAATTATATTTTTGATTTTTTTTATTTAAAATTAATGTTTATCTTATATTTGATTATTTTTATATGCAGTTAGTTACACGAATTTAAAAATGAAGTTTTAACAAATTGTACTTACGTAAAATTACTTGTAATAATTAATTTTAAGTAATATGCATCAATAAACAATACTTCATTTATAAAAAATAGTTTTTAAGAGTTTTTATCAAATGTTTTATAATATGTTATAAATAAAATTACATATACAAGTGAACAAACTTTAATAAATAAAGTCATATATTTTGAATTTAAATTAAAGTTTATTTCTATTTTAGAGATTAGGGCGAAACCAGAGGTCTTTTTTATATCTGTTTCGCAAGGACCACAGTCAACTTTTGTAGAATCATAGATGAGAACGCGAAAAAAACAGTAGAGTAATTTACATATTTGGTCCTTGTGGTTTTAAGGTTATTTAGGTTTTAGTCCCTACATTTCCCTATTTCAAAAGAACCCTCATAAAATGTTTTTTGACGTGTTTTGGTCTCTCCTATTAATACTGTTAAAAAGTATCCGTTAAGTGATGGCTATATTGTTCCTTCGTATCTTTGTCGTTTTACTCTCATCTGACCACCCATCGTCCATTGATCCCACCTTTTTTTATTAACATGGATATCCAATTCGCTATGCGAGCCGACTAATTTCAGGACGACCACCTGCTTTGCAGATAGTCCGGAGTCACCGCATTTGAACCTCTGTGGCCACAAGAAGATTTTTTATTCCTCCTTAGATTTGAACTTGAGACCTCCTGGTACTTTTAACCTTTGGAGTCAAGCTCAAATCAATCAGGCACCACCTTTGTGGTTAATTGATCCCACCTTAATTGATTGCTGAAATGGAAGTTATAGATAATAAACAGCGGTGGCGAATAAGAGGGGACGATGTTACTTTTGAACAATGGAAAAGAAGAGGGAAGGGGAATATGATGGCGGTGATAGGATTTTTGTTTCCAATTGAGTTATATGTTTATTTTGGACCAAAAATCAAGAAGGTGTAGTGGTGGTGCTTAGTACATCAGAAGTGTTGTGATGATAAGGAGTGGTTGCGGAAGGTCAAGCAATGGTGGTGGAGGTGGTCGTTGCTGAAGGAGAAACGGGAAGATGCATTGGTGGTGGCCCATGGAATTGAGAGAAGAAGATGATGGTTTGAGAGGTGGGTAGGAAGAGGAGAAGGAGGTCGCTAAAGGGGCGAAAAGGGTCGACCGAGGTGGGAGGGGGAGAGAAGGGATGACACATGTCTTATTTTGGTTGGTTGTAATTATAATAAAAACGGAGAAAACTAAAATGCTTTTCATTTTAACAGATTTTTTTAACAGTGTAAGAGGGAAAGACCAAAACATGTCAAGAAAGTATATTATAAAGGTTCTCTTTTGGAAATAAAAATTGTAGGAACTAAAATCAAGACAATCTTAAAACCACAAGGACCAAACCCGTATTTTATTCTAAGGAATATCATAAATCAAACATCAAAGATTGCCTCTTAATAATTCAGATGATGTCTTTTAATAGAACTATTAAAAGGCAATCCTTGATGTTTGATTTATGAATTATTAAGAGCTGAATCTTGTTTGGTAAAAAAAATGTTTGTCTTTTAATCGTTCTAAAATTATCTGAATGATTTTGTATCTTGGGTCTTTCTTAACCATTCAACGTCCTAATTTCATTCTAAATAATTACCAAATAATTATATTTTATTTTACATTATATCATAATTTTTTTTAATTATTTTAATCATTTAATTATTTTTATACCAAATCATTGGGCAACTATCAAATAATCCATAATTTAAAGAAAAAAAGAAGGGGAATTAATGAAAATAAGAATAAAGACGACAGTCAAAATAAAGACGACTTCCGCAAGTTTCACAACATTGCAGTCAGTCTACAACTTTTGCTTCTGCCTCTCTCTCTTCTCTCCCTCCGATAATGCTGTGAGCAACCGCTTATCTAATTCGATTCAAGTATATATATACCCACAATATCGCTATATATTGATCTCTATGGTTATTGTTGCATAGCAAAATTGAAAAACAGGAAGCATTTGGGGTTAATTCGTTGTAGAAATGCCGGTGAAACCTGGTGTTGTGTTATTGATCGTCTTCTTGGTGGCGGTTACAGCGGTTTCGGTGGCGTATGAGAGCAGAAGTGAATATTCGACGAGGATTTTAACTCTGGCGAGGGCCTTTCCGGCGAACGAGACAGTTGAGTTGGAAATCCTCAAGGCACGTGACCATGTCAGACACTCCCGAATCCTGCAAGGCTTCGCCGGCGGCGTTGTTGACTTCAATGTTTTCGGTACCTCCGATCCTTACTACGGCGGGTAATTTATTGAAATCCCAAAAAGAAAATTATTCTAGTTATTCATATCACCTTTTTTTCAAATGAAACAGCCGTAAACATTTCACTTTTTTTGTGTCAGTTCTTCCCTCTTTTGGTGTCTTAATTCCTTCTATTAATCTTGAATAACTCATTTGAGCTCTGGATTTCTTTCTTCCTTATTTAGTTGATTTTAATCTTTATTTAATCATCCAACCTATGGAATTTTGTTGTTCTTTGTTCTTGGGTCAATGAACACCATGTGTTTGTTTGTTTGCTTCTCTTATTTCTTTACTCAGTAATGCCCATCAAATATGTTTTCCAAAATTCAACATTTTGTAAGCAAATTTCATGGGTTTTGCATTAAATAGTATCTTATCTATAACCATGTTCTGTAGATCGTGGTCTTGTCTCTTGATTTTCTATTTGGTTATCATCTAATTTATTCATTTTATGGTAGGACAATACATTCAGAAGTTTTCGATTGTCTTCTCTATGTGGGAATAGCCTTTAAGCAGCTTCTATGGTTACTCTTTTGACCTCTCTGGGTCCACTAATGGAAGTGTGTTTCATAATTGAAAAAGGTTTAGTTTAGGAAATTAGATTTAATCATAATGATTAGAGACTATAATGTCATAATCTAGCTTAACTCTGAGACCATATAGTGGGTATTATACTATTATATATGTAACAACTCATCCCACGTAGATAGAAAGTTAGATTTGTGAGTTCTTATAAGCTCAAAGTTGTGGGCTATCAATAACTTCTACCATGGTTTTAAGTTGAATCGGGGTTATTAGGCTAGTCTGTTGCTTTGGGCTACGAGGTGTTACAAAATTAAAATATACATAGGTAGAGTCAGTTCAGGGAGAAAACATCAAAAAAATGAAAAACTAAGGAACACTCTGGTAACCGTTCATCTGGATGGTATGCACATGCAAATACAAGTAAGCTATAAGCAATTTATCCGGTATACACATGTGTAGAACATGGACACGCGAATAAAAACCAAAAAACAACTTCAATTACTTGTATGTACATGTGCATACCATCCAAATGAATGGTTACCGGGTGTTCCCCAATTTTTCATTTTTTCATTTTTTGGGGGTTTTCTCCAGAACTTTCCTCTACGTTAGTATATTACTAAAATTATTGATTTTTTTGTGACCTTGATTGTATTGTAGATTGTACTTTACAAAAGTGAAGTTAGGCTCTCCTCCAAGAGAATTCAACGTGCAGATTGATACTGGAAGTGACATCTTATGGGTTTCTTGTAGTTCTTGCAGTGGTTGTCCTGAAACAAGTGGATTTGGTGTATGTTTCTTTCCATTTAGATCTTCTAAAGATTGTTAGACTTGTTATATGCTTGAATGATTCCTAATGCATCCCATTTTTCATTTCTAGTTTCCGCTCAATTTCTTTGATGCTCCAAGTTCTTCAACTGCTTCCATGGTGTCCTGTTCAGATTCCATGTGTTCTTCTAATATCAAAACTGTGGATGCTTTATGTTCTGATCAAGGCGATCAATGTGGTTACGAGTTTCAGTATGCAGATGATAGTGGGACTTCTGGTTATTATGTTACCGATTTGCTATATTTTGATACAGTTGTGGACCCTTCCATGATTACCAACTCTTCAGCTTCTGTTACTTTTGGGTGAGCTTTTCCATCACTTTTGTGACAATTTTTCTTTAACTGTACACCAACACAATCATCCAAAATGAGCATGCCCTCCAACAATCATGCCATCTAGCATTACTTATGGTAACTTTGGTTGAATTCATGATCCTAATCAATGAATATGAAAAGGATTTGTTCCCATTTAGAACAGATTTAAGACTTTCCTGAAAGTATCCTCTGCTTAATTGCAGCAGGGTTCAGCTTTAACATAGTGACTGCTGCAGATGTTGTACATGAGACCTCAATTCTACTGCCAGATGAAGATTTGATTCATTTTATAATGACTTAGGGCCTGTTTGTTAGCAGCTTAATGGACTCAGCTTGTTCGGTCAGCTACACTGTGCATGACTGTTTGGTAGTGGCTTAATGATATAGAAAAATGACTTATTCAATAAGCTTCTAGGGGCAGCTTTATACAGAAAACAAAGTTTTTCTAAGCTTGCACATCCCAAACAAAAAACCCTCTTCTGCCATCTATGAAAAAACACTTCCAAACAAAAACATTCCCAAATCTATAAAGACAGATTAATCCACACAGACAACTTTATCTATAAATGACTTAATGGAAAACCAAGCAAACATCCCCTTAGGATATGTTTGGCAAATTAGCTGATAAACTACTTGTGGTAGCTAAAAAGCTAGATGTTGGCTAATAGGCTAGCCGATAAACTAGTAATGTTTGGTAAAAACTAGCTTATAAGCCACATGAAAAAATATAAGGGGTATACTTGGAAGAAATGGAAGAAACACCCTTGTAGCTTATTGAAATGCTACTTGAAGTAGCTTTTCAAAAAACTAGCTTATGGCTAACAAAACATCTAACTTATGGTTGTGAAACATGTTAATCCTTGTATGAGGTTTGTGGTTTTGGTGACAGGTGCAGTACCTATCAATCTGGTAGCTTAACTAAATCAGATAAAGCGATGGATGGGATTTTTGGATTCGGGCAACATAGTCTATCTATTATATCACAACTATCCTCTCAAGGGATCACTCCAAAAGTATTCTCCCACTGTTTACGAGGAGATGGAAATGGCGGTGGCAAACTTGTTCTTGGTGAGATATTGGCTCCAACCATGGTTTATAGTCCCCTTGTCCCATCACAGTACGTATTATTTTTTTGAAGTATATAGTATTTATATACGGCAAACCTCATACACATTTCTCACCTTTGGTGAGTCTTGATCCCTTGACCTCCAGGGAGGTCGGGATCTCTCGGTTACCCGGGTACCGCAGGGCCAATGACTCTTTGGTCTAAGAACGTATTATGTGGAGTATGAAACTTTCCATTATCTCAGTAATAGTCTTTTCGTATGCACATTTTTCACTTAAATTACTTCATTACCATCAAATTGCACAAGGGTCGAGTCAAATGAAGGGCATTAAGAAAATCGGGTCTTCAAAAAGAAACAAAGAAGGAAGAAACAAGAGGGATAATGGTTTACGATTCTAATTTTCAGGCCTCATTACAATCTGGATCTGCAGAGCATCAGTGTCGGCGAGCAGTTGTTGCCAATTGATGGAGCAGTTTTTGCAACGTCCGATGATCAAGGAACCATTGTCGATACTGGAACAACATTGACATATCTTGTTGCCCAAGCATTTGATCCGTTTGTTGATGCTGTTAGTTCTCGGTTTCTGCTTTTCAAAATATAACTATTATTTCATTCGTTTTGATCGTATCCCGATCTCAGTTCCCAAGTTGGAGTTAAATTGTAGTTTCGACTTTTATGCACTACAAGAAAACCGGCTTTATAGGACATCAAATATGCCTAAACGAGTCATTTAGATAAGTTTATGCTTTTTGACTGCAGATAACTGCTGCTGTTTCGCAATCAGTAACTCCGATCCTTTCAAAGGGGATCCAATGCTATTTAGTGGCATCAAGATCAAGGTACTTCCCAAACTTGGTTTTTATTTGGATCGTTCTACCGTGAAAGCCATGTCATCATCGAGACACATAAGCGATCCTTTATGGTTTTTCATGAACAGTTTAACTGCGATATTTCCGAAGGTTTCCTTAAACTTTGCAGGCAGCGCATCCATGATTCTTAAACCAGAGAACTACCTTGTACTAGGGGATCCTGTTGTGAGTTTATAATCTCGTCCCTTGTTTACTTGGTCATTCCATAATTTCTTGGCAGACACAACTTGTCCCGAAATAAATGCTACGTTTTATTTTCTGGTGAAATCTAAGTCCAAGATTACCTCTTTGTCATTGGTTAGCGTTGTAAAACGCTGATTGAATGCATTTTGGTCCGTAAGATGTTGGGTATTTTTAGTCTTTTTGACCAATACGAACAAATTTGTACAGGAGGGTGGTATTCCGTGGTGCATTGGCTTTCAGAAAGCGACTAATGGGGTAACGGTTCTTGGAGGTAAGTTCAAAAGGTGTCATTTTACAATAATTTGCCACATATACGTGCATATAGAGTGGATTCTATAATAGAGCGCGCACCGTAAAACCTTAAAAAGACTATTTTACCCTCAAGGTCCGACAATTGTCTATACCCTTTCACGGAGGGGACTGGACAGTTTGGACTAGACGGGCGAGAGTATGGTAAGTAGGTGAAAATTTTTTGTGTGGTTTTAGGTTTTCAATTTTTGACATGGGTAGGTTAGTAATTTATCAATCTTGTCCCATTTTCGCTATTTTTTGCTCCACCACTTTGGCGGGACAGGAAAAATGCATAGTTGTCCCACTCAGGTAAGTTGCGACAAGCATAGGACAACTTTTGTCCTGTCCAATTTTGTCCCAACGCACCTTTCGTGAGAAATGCAACATCGGAGATTTTGAAACGTCCACCATTCTATTTATATCATATGATTGTTTAAATCTGATTATTGACCCTCTAAGCTCATCGAGTTCGTTATAATTGCAGATCTTGTTCTTAAAGATAAGATATTTGTTTATGATTTATCGAGAAAACGAATTGGATGGACCGATTACGATTGTAAGCACAATACTTTCCCTTGTATGCGTGCTTGTGACACACTCGTTTGTTGAGTTTGATCATTGTATTGTTACACTTTATTCAGGTTCGGCGGATGTAAATGTCTCCATAAAGTCCAACAAGAACGAATACGTCAATGCAGAGTTGAACGAGAGCATATCATCGAGTTTTACGAGTCTTGAAGCTCTTTTGATGTTTATACTAGTAGCATCATTTTGGTCTTTATTATGGTGAACCGAAACACGATCTTCGGTCAAGAACTCCTTCATTTTTTAGCTTTACACGTCGATTCGATTGGCCGTTCTTCAATCGGGCTATCGAGATGCCACTGTTTTACGCCTTAGAGCCTTCGAGGTCTAAATTTATCCGAGTGTCTCTCTTTTAATTTCCTGAATTAATCGACTTTGTAAGAGGACAACTTAATATTAATCATATAGTTTTTTTTTTTATTAACCTGGATATTCAGCCCGTTATGCGAGTCGACTAATCTCAGGGCGACCACCTGCTTTGCAGGTAGCCCGTAGTCACCGCATTTGAACCTCCGTAGCTACAAGAGGATTTTTGTTTCTTCTTGGATTTGAACCTGAGACCTCCAAACACTTTTGACCTTTGGAGCCAAACTCAAACCAATCAAACACTATTCTTGTAGTTATTAATCGTATAGTTTTTATCTGTTTTTGATAGATTTATTTTAAAGTAAAGTTCAATTTTGGTCCACAGTTTGCATTTTTGAACGGATAGTGCTTTTAAATTTTAAAAACCCGGATTTAATGTATCATTTTTGTCAATTATAAACAGTTTTAGTTCATCTTCTAACGATTGTTAACGTTCTCTGTTTAACCCAATTAAATGAGAGGTATTTTAATTATTTTAATTATTTTTTAATTTTATATTAAAATTAAAAAAAATTATAATCTAAATTTTAAATGGTAAAACAAAAAAGAAATGAGCTTTTTTAAAACTAAAAATATAGTATGTTCTTCCCTCTTTTTCCATTGTTTTACAAATTAATTTAATTTTAATATAAAATTAAGAAAATAAAAAATATATATTAAAATACCTTTTATTTAACTGGACTTAACAGAAATAGTTAACCATCGTTAAATAAAGGCACCAAAATTATTGAGAATCAAAAAACTTTAATATAACCGTTGAAAATTAAAAACCTTCAGGGACTAAAATTAAACTTTATTTTTCTTTTTTAAAAATATTAAACTTCAGGTAATTTGGTTAAAATTAAATGAGAATATATAATTTGATACGGGATCATATATTAAAATCAAACAAATCATTTTATAATTACAAAATATTTGAAAAATCGAAACACTTAAATCATTACGAATATGGTGACTTTTCAATGACTTTCAACTTGTATCGAATCGTAGAATTCAATGGAGTCAGTTATAGTGATCCTGTTATTTAAAAAAAAAATATGTAAGACGTGTTCAATTGGAGAATTTTTTTGAATTAGATCGTGTTACTTTAAAATCCGATAATGTGTTTTTGTAATATTCCAACGGGTTGGTTTACTTTTTTTGCAAGTCAATTGCATAAGTCAACTTCATTTAAATGTTAAGTAATTAAATAAATAATTTATACTATATCTATACTATATTATAAAACATTTGGCTAAAACTCTTAAAAACTCTTAAACTCTTAAACCCGTTTATTCCTAAACAATTTCATCCATATCCGATTTCATCCCATAACTGAATTCGTGTAACTAACTGCAGATAAACACAATCAAATACAGGATAAACATTTCATTTTAAATATAAAAAATCTAAAATATAATTAGGATAATAATTGAGTTCTAACAAAATACTTAATTATTATCTTTATAAAATGTTATATTATTAAACCAAAAATAAATTATTTCATTATTAAACTT